CTGTTATTGCATGTTGATTCTTGCAATGCGCGGCACATACTTTGCAATGTTTTTCTACATTAAGTTCTTCACCGTGGAACTGCCTAGTGCGCCGTGGTGTTAGGGTGGGCCTGGGCGTGTTTAGCGATGCGCTGTTCCAATATTTGAGTTATCAGGTGGGACAGGTATCTGCAGCGAGGCGCACACTCCCATTTGTTTGCGGTGTATGATAGCCATAACTGCACTGGTCGCTCCCTGGTGAGACAGTACAGGACAACAGTTTCAGCGTAATTCACCATAACTGGCTTGGAGGCTGCGCATCAAATCCAAGGGTGGATGGTGGGTACTAGTTCATTACCGAGTGAACAATGAACAATTACAAGTCGTAAATCTCACTGTCCCTCTCGTTTACTTAGGTTAGGGGATAGCATCATAAATGGGGCGATGACTCTCACACTATTTCCGTCTCTATCTGAAGACCATCGTCTGAGTCTCTAAAGTTTGAATAGTCGGTGATATTCACTACCCCGCAATAATCAGCGGGCTGCCCAGCCCGTCTCGCCCCGCTGTCGGACCATCAGGGCCCCACGGTATTGTCTATTGTTCATTGTCTGCCGCCCCGGTCCCGCCCTGTCCTCCTCTCCCCTCCCCCTCCCGTCCCCTCACTGGTCACTGGTCCAAGGCCAGACCGGTCTGTCGGCCAGTTTGTTATTTTTCGGTGTGTCCGATGGGCACATGCGCCGTGAACCGGTGTTCTACTATGGGCCGGATGATAGTCGTCCGTATACATAGGTGTTATAAGCTTACTTTTGGTCATATCGCTCAGGGTTGTAATGCACACTACAGTAGGATATTAATTACAATAATTATTTCGAATAGGATCTTCCATTGTTGTGTTATTTCCGGCTGCTGATGCTAGAATACTGGGAGTCCCACCGACGGCAGAGCATTACAGCATTAGTGCTCCATGAGAGCTTCAGAGCGACACACGTTGGGCAGCTGCCACGTGAGGGGTGCGACCTGACATTAACATCCGTCCACTAACACACCCGGGAAGTGGAACAAAGACACTCTTGGGTAGTCGCAAAAAGGCTGTGTATCCGAGTGGAAGAGGTCAACCTGCCCTTACTGGGTCATGGATCGTCCACGAGTTGAGCCGGCTTGCTCGCACCGTCAAATCTGTTAGTTCATGCGCATCTCTTGGGGAATTCGAGCCACTCACGTGTCACTTGGCCTTTGTCCATGGCTTTGATACACAGCAGCAGTACCAAGACCCGCCCCACCCCAGTCTGCTGTTGCTGTCCTGCTCACCAGGGCTGCGGAGTCGATGGATTTTCGGCGACTCCGACTCCGACTCCGACTCCGGCTTTCAAAAACCAGCTCCGACTCCGACTCCGACTCCGGGCAGAATTGTTGACTCCGACCGACTCCAACTCCCGACTCCGACTCCGCAGACCTAGCAGGGCTGCGGAGTCGACAGATTTTCGGTGACTCCGACTCCGACTCCGGCTCGGGTTTCTAAAATCGACTCCGACTCCGACTCCGACTCCGGTCACAACTGTCGACTCCGAACGACTCCGACTCCGACTCCGACTCCGACTCCGCAGCCCTGCTGCTCACTGCTCACACACCTGCCCTCCCTCCCGCCTCGTTGCAGCGCTCGCCGACCGGTGGCGCCCCTGGCGGCGGCCCGCTGAACTCTGCCGGCCTGCAGGAGCGGCTGGCCGAGAACCGCCGTCAGCTGGCGGCTCTGGGCTCCCAGCCGGACCCCGAACTGGCCCAGTACCTCGAGGACGAGCGGGTGGCGCTCATGCTGCAGAATGACGAGTTCATGGACGAGCTGCGCAGGAACCGGGAGTTCATGGACGCGCTCGATGTCGGTCAGTGGTCGGGACGGCGTCAGGCTGGGGTGTGCTTTGTTAGTGGTCGGGGCCGGCTGGACTGGGGACGGGGTGTGTGGTTCAGTCGTTGGAACGAGTCTGGCTGTGATTGAGTGTGGTTTGCCGTTGGTGTGCCCCAGTACAAATACGAGAATGCCTTAATTGCTCACTTCCCCACGAGCCAGCTACTTCGATAGTTTCGATAGATTGCTCATGTGTCATCCCCTTCACGTTGCTCGTCTTATTTTGTTGTGTTTTAGATTTTGTCTCGTGTTGTTGAAGGCGATAATAGAAGACACATGTTACATGGGCTGTTCGTTACTGCGCCATTCCCTTGTAGTTGCCAGAGTTCACAATGTTGATGTTGGCGCCCCAAAGACACACCTGCTATGCATGCGCTCGGACCGACTGGCCAGAGCCCCTTGTGGGGTGCCCCTGGGTGGATTCCTGGCCGCAGATACGATATTGACTGCCTGCATGGTGTGCTGTCTTTTGGAGCCTCTTTTTGTTACGTTTGTTTGAAGTTTGTTTGGTTCTTTCCGCAGATACCGCCCATTTAGACGGTCCCCAGTGGCGTGACTACGGTAAGATATAGGATGAATGTGCTTAGATTATCTTGTTTTGTTTCGCAATTCATCACCATCACCCGCGTTAGATGACATATTTCAGAGCATTGTCACGTCACACTATGCACCTCGAAGAAAACACTACTGTAGGCACAGTTGACACAACTTGACCATTTGTGATTTTTTATAAGTTAATGTTTGAGGGTGATCCTAATCCTATAATAGTGCACACCGCAGCATTTCTATTTGCCCCCAGCTGTCTGACCGTGTTATGTGTCCTCCGCTCGGACAGAATCGCTGGACGAGCCGGGTCGGCCGGCCGCCGGCGGGGACGGGCCGCCCTTCACCAAGTACCCCGACGACGAGGCCTTCAGGGAGCGGCTCAAACACATGGGAAAAGGTCGGTCTGTGGGCGGCGCGGCCCGCATTGGCTGGCTAAGCAGAGACGGAAGCGGCACTGCTATCATCCATTGATGCGGGATACAGAGATAACGGCTTCTCGAGGCATATTGATACAGTGATATTGGAATCGGCGGATGACAGTAATATTCTAAGGGGTCAGTGGACGTACAATTTTAATGCAATATTCCATCAACTATAACTCGTCCGGCTTATACACAGATGGCTGCACAGAGACTGCACTAGTTAGGGTGACTAGGAATCTACCCAGGGGGCTGACTAATTAGATAATGCCTATGGCACAGACCCTGTGCCGCCCATTCTCGGCGTTTCCACGTACACTGACCGACCCCTCCCCTCCTCTACTGCAGCCTCTCGGAAGAAGTTCTCGCAGCTGGCGCGGCTGTTCCACTTTAACCGGCGGGGCGGCGCCCGCCACCTGCTGGCACCCGGCGCCGCTCCCAGTGGCGACCAGCTGCTGCTCGTGGAGGACCCGCTCACAGAGGAGGACTTCAACTCCGAGCCCAGCTCGTCACTGGCGCCGCCGTTCGTAAGTGAAACATCATTTGGTCATTAGTGGACTGGCGAACAGGTGCCGCTATGGTCGGAATGAAAGTTATTTGTGGGCTTAGGTCTCTCGCCAGCCCATCTGATCAGACCTACATCGGCGATCCACAAGTATCAAAATGGTGAGTCGGCGGCTCTGACCATGCTCTCAGATAATAAATTACTCATCCAGTACGACCTGAACTGATTGATCCCCGGCGCCCCCAGGTGGACCGTCACTCGGTGCAGACCAGCTCACCGGGCGGACGCAATCGGACCGGAGGAGACCAGATGGTCTGAGAGGTCCCGAGACCAGCTGGCCTGAGCCGTCCCCGGACCCAGAGACCCGCTGGTCTGGTCTGAGCGGCTCCCAGACCCCGGGTCCAGTCAGACCACGGTTCCAGACCAGCGAGCCTGAGTGGCCCCAGCGTCGGATCGGCGGCAACCAGCTGGTCGAGTGGTCTCCAGACTCCAATACCTACTGGTCTTTGGGACCATCTGGCCCCATAGACCAGGGGGTCGAAGTGGTCCCACAGGCCAGCCGGACCGACTCGTCCCGGGACCGGAGCCACCGAGACTCGTCAAGTCTGCTACCGGCGCGAGCGGGGTCGGCGGCGGCGGGCGGGTCAGCTACGGGGCCGTTCCCTTGGGTAATGGGCGCAGCTTCCGTGTGGCACGTGTGTTACCAATGGCCAACCGAGAGGCTCTGAATTATTACTGAAAGGGGCGTGCGGGTCAGTGCATGTTTTGAGAGCGACTTTGTAGTTGTTTGGAGGCAGTATTGTTTGTGAAAATGATATGAAGGCGCTGTGAATTCTGCTGCCTGTCGTTTTGTTGATGATTTTTGCGTCGGTTTACATGTCTTCGGTTAATTGAAGGCAAATGAGCCATATTTGGGTTAATGATATGCCTATTTGATAGTGCATGCGTAGTAATATTGTTTTATTCTTGGAGTGGTTTATTTAGTGATTTCGTGAGTCGCGACTTGTGAGTTTTGTGGATGCAGTTTCGGGTGTACTGGGAATTTTGGCAGCTACCTGCAAATCGCAACGTGTCTGTGCAATACTGATCAAGCAGTTGCTTCCAGTTGTTGAACGTGTGAATAAGTGTTCAGGTGTATGTATATGGTTGTGCGTAAGCAGAGCGTCCCTTCGGAGGATGCATTTGTGGTCAGTATGGTGTCGTGTGGTGGACGGGGCGCGGTCCGTCTGGGAGGGGCCGCCCGTATATACAGCGGCGTGTGCGTATATTGCCTCTGTATACCACCTGTATCACCGCCCTGTTAATCGGGCCGTGGGGGATGTGAGGGCCGCTCACTGAGCTGCACCGCGGCCACGCAGTGGGTTCACTTACACCCGTGTGGTGCCCAGCGCGGCGGCTGGTCTTGTGCGTCGACCGGCCCCATTTGCCACACCCCAGTTATAATGGCGTGCGCTGCGCTGAGGCCGCCACCCTTTCATGTATCGCCGTAGTGAGTGTATATCGGCCGGCGCGCGGCCGTCCCCAGTGCCTGCGGCGGTCTGTGTGCCGGGCGGTTCCACTGTGGTACCGTCCCAGCAGGGCCGCCCGCCGGCCGTCCCACATGTACCGCCCACGCGCACCGCCACGGACGTATATATCAAACGCAAAACGCAATATATTCCCATGTATACTGTATGCTGTGAATGGTTGAACTCGAACAATACACACCAATGCGTATTCAGATGATTCTGTTTGAACTTCCTAGGGATGACGCAGCCGTCAGTTATACAGGAAAGTTTGTTGAACGAATGTTGCATGAAACAAAGTAGAGAAACACGTAGCTTTACCGCTTAATCGGCAAGCGATTCTCCTAGCCGGTAGTTCAGACACTACGTCATCCATCGCTGGCCAAAGGACGGTCGAACAGGACTGCCAACTCCATTTAGCCAGCACGGACGCCACATCAAGCCGGATCGCGGCGGTCGGTCGGCTCTGCACTCCACCGCACTCGCCCCGCACCGCTTATGAAGCCGTACAATCCCTGCCGGCTCACCAGTTCTCCCCTCCGCCCTCCCCCCCCCCCCCCGTACCGCCGTCAAACCCTCCTCACTCTATGTCGCGGTCGTTTACGAACAGCGCGGCGGCTAGCGAGAGCGACGGTCCACCATTACCGTCAAACACCGAGCGGTCGGGCAGCATTACCTCCTCCCCCCCCCCATCCCAGCTCGAAAGCCTCTTGAGCTGCCACAGCGTCTCAGCCGGTCCCGTGCGTGAACATGTGCAGCGCTGGGTCGTAGCGCAGTGGCGGCACTCGGTCCCGGCCGCTGAAACACGCGACAAACACCCGTCAGTCAGGGATATTGGGTATACCTGGGGGCAAGTAACGATCAGCGGGGATGGAGCGAGCCTACGGGGAGACGGACAACAGCTTGTGGGACACGGAGGTTAACTACGGGCAACCACCAGGCGGATATTGTAGGAGACAGAACATAATCCATCATCGGACGACCACCAATGCCAGATCCGCAATGCTGCCTAATCCCGATTTTCAGAACGGGATGGCAGCAGAGCCTAAGCCACTCTATGTAAATACATCCGCTCCGACCAGCGCACAGTGCATTAGCCGTCGTCCGAACGACAAATAAATGCTAACCATTTCGGGAAGCTGTCCGGCCCGCCTCCGGCTCTGACATTGCGGCAAATAACGAGCCATCCCGAGCAGACAAGCCGCGGTGGGCAGGTAACTGGCAAGGGTAGCTGGAGGGAGCGGCTTAGTTTCCATCAGTTATGGAGCGACGGTGTATTAATACCCACAAGCTCTAAAGCAAACCAAATAAAAACTGAACATGCTTGGGTCAGACAGATGTTTCTGGGTAAGTGGAGGAGCGTGGGGTTGGGATGGCGTGGGCGGCGGACGACACGAGGAGGCGAACGGGACTGCCTCATCAAAAGGAGATACACACGAACGGACAGGTGCGGGCGTAGAGTGTATGTAACTGGCGCTGTGCGCAGAATAATAACAGAACAACGCAGTACATGGAACGTCGATTGGGTCAGACTCAGACTGAGATGGAACACAAAGCAGATGGTACGCGGACAGCTATATAATCGGCTCAACATTACCTTGTATCGCGTCTGTGCCCCATAATGAACATTGGAAAGCATTATCTATTGTGGTCTACAGTTTCTCAGCGAAAGACAAAGATATATGGGCAGACGACCTTCCATCCATGCCCCGGCTATCACTCAGTGCTGCAGCCGTCCCGCGGATGTCTCCCGTCCCTCCATCCCTCCACCCCCCCCCCCCCCCCGCTCACCGGTGGGGCCGCAGCGTCAGTCGGTGGTGGGTCGGCTCCCCGCCCCCGTCGGCCGTTCTCTGGAGCACGTCCAGCGCCGTGGCCGCCGTAGCCAGCACGGCCGGCAGCACGGCAGCCCTCGAGCCGCCGACCAGACGGCTCGGTACAGAGACGTTCAGCTCACACTCCAGCGCCTGAGGTGAGAGAACGGCGGATGTGAGGCTGGCGCGGTGAGCGTGGGGCTGGACTGGGAGAAAGACAGAAAGCTTGAGGTGGGGCTGCGTGGACCTTTTCGTTACTCTTCTTACTTGCCATTTTTAGGCCAGCTAGACATTTCGGAGAACATCTGACAATAAGAAAAAAGCTCATTACGTATGATACAATGTCAGCTATAATGAGAGGTAATGAGTAATCAGACAGCGCCCATGCAAATCGTAACCTGAGCTCCACAATTCACAGCCACAGTCCCCGAAGCTACACACCCTGAGCTCCACAGTTTGTTATAGTCACTTACCCTGAGTGCCGATGAGCTGGCGGCGCGCGGGCTGCTGGCGCCCCGTTTGGTGGCCAGTTTCAGGCCCACGAGCGGCGGCACCCGCGGGTGCTGGGGACTCAGCGCCACGTAACAGCTCAGCTGCAGACCTGGCCGACAGAGGGCGGACTCAGCGCCGGGTACACTACTTCAGTATCGGGGCGTTCAGTATTCAGCGGTATAAGTACGGGAAAGGCAAAAACTGTAGCAGGGGATAAGGCAGTCGTATGAGGCCACCCCAGCATCTGTAGCAAGTAATCATTCAGCTGTCTAAGGTCAATATCTAAGGCATCAAACCACATGCACGGAGTATTAACTGCACAAAATGTTGCTAAGCAACTGGAACGACTATACTGTATCACCAAAATTCACTGAGGTGATTGAGCAGCATCAAGACAAAAAAAAAAAAAAAAAAAACGATGCATTCGGTAATGTAGTCTTACTGCATCAGATAGAAGCTCAGTCGCATCTCTTAACAAATACCGCACCGCGCTGGGCGATAGCGCACGAACAGTTAACCTAGAAATAGGTGCGGCAGTTTATTGTGACCCATCAGTGATTAAGCCAGCCATGGGTAGGCGGAGAAGCAGACTGACGGTCCTACTCAGACCAACTAAGCCAACCTTAACGAGGCGGTAGTATTAGCAGGTTGCGAAGAGATTACGTGATACGACACTAAGGCAATTTTGTCGACTGAAGTAGCCTAAAAATAGCCACATATTCGCACGAACAGTTTTCTAAGTTTCTGGGCAATTACCGTTGCCACAAAAAACAGCGGATGGTGACACTTTTCTCGAGCTGTCGTGAAATTCTAGGTCGGCGACTACATCGTTTCCCAAAAGCACACGGTTTGTAGTTAAATGAACAAGAATCGATGAGATGACGCAAGAATCACTCTAAGTTAATGACACATATTAGCCAGGTTGATGTTACATTTATAGTCCTGGGTCCAGTTACCATGCAACCTGAGACTGTAAGTGTAAGAGCGCTGGTAGCCTGAGTCGCACTGAATAGATCTGATGCCTTCGTATCTAATTCTGGACAGGTATTTAGATGTCTCTGTGCCTGATGTGATTACATAACCACCGCGGGGCAGGAATTTGTCTGACATGCCGTGTGCCGTGCTCGCATTACAGGGCGCCGACCGCCGCGGGCAGCGCGGTCGCCAGGAGACATCCCCGCATACTGCCTAGCGCATCATTACACGGTAGCACAGTCTGTCACACTCCGGAAGCAGTCAGTGAAGAAAAAGACCTAGGAGTTACTATTGACAAGAAACTATCGTTCTCAAAACATGTCATAAACCAGGTTAACAAGGTCAATAGAATTCTCGGAGTCATCAAGCATACCTTTGCAAACATTGACAGTGATGTCTTTCAAGCCTTGTACAAGAGCATCGTGAGACCCCATCTTGAGTATGCCGCTGTTATATGGAGCCCCAAATTTAAGAAAGATAAAGACGCACTCGAGCAGGTGCAACGGCGGGCAACGAGACTGGTGAAGGGGCTGTCTCACCTGTCATACTCAGATCGTCTCAGAAGCCTCAATTTGCCTACCCTGGAATTCCGAAGGCAAAGATCAGATATTATCGAGACATTCAAAATCTTAAAAGGCCTCGACACGGTGGACTACCAAAGAGAGTGCTCGTGTTGTCGCAACAGCATGTTCAAGGACTCCCTTAGCCGTACCACCCGAAGTCACGGTCAAAAGCTGCAGGTTCAGCATCAGTCGGGACCTAGGAAAGCCTTCTTCGCGGCACGAGTGACTCGGGCGTGGAACAAGCTGTCCAGGAACACTATTGAAGCACCAAATGCCGATGTTTTTAAGTTCAGACTTGGGAAAGAATGGAAGAACCACCCCGACAAGTTTAACTACAACTTCTCCTACTAATGCTCAAGAGTGGCTACCGCAGTAGCTAATGTCACTAACAACAGTGGTCGTCATTTTATGGCGACAACAAGCATGGCAGCCAACTCGTCTTCATCAGAAGAGGAGAAAGCGCCTCTTGAGTAAAGGGTCTTATTACTCGAAAGGGTATCTAATGACCTTTACTTAAGGTAAATTGTTTATAACGCTCATAGAAAAAGATCTCATCACGTGGGCGACTGGCACGGAGCAGAAAGGTCGAGGGTATATCGGGCGAATGAAGCAATGTTAAGGTATCGCTGCTCGGGATAATACTGATCGAATGTCCGCGCACCACCAAGACAATGGCGTCAGGAGAAGACAGAATTGGAATGCTCACTGGCGGTATTTTATGTGTCACAAGCAGCCAGCTTGTCAAGTACTCCCCCTATATTTGGAAAATTACATACCCATTTCACTTATTTGCTATTTTTCACCACCTCACGGACGATGCCTGCAGCCACGAAAGCGAAATTCATTGAACTCATCGGCTAACTTTGAACCCAACGTCTTCAATAGACACTGAACAGCGAACACCCTACCGTCATGATGCTCCAGCCTCTCTGCCTGGTCTGCGTCATACGGGCCCGCCGTAACTGCTCTATAATGGAATATGTTCCCGCAGTCCCCTGTGCCACAGGGGTGCTCAACTGATGAGCCCTCTGCTCCCTGTCCAGTTTCCAATACCTATGCATGTACTACGCGTGTTCCCTGTCTTCTGTGCCATACTAGCACCGCTTTGTGTTCTGACCAGCGCCGCTTTGAGTCCTGCCCACTGCCCAGCGCCGCCGTCCCTACCTGCCGGGTGCTCCAGTTTCGCCAGGAAGCAGGCGCAGCAATCGTCCAGCTCGGCAGCGCAGAGCACGCCCGAGGCGCGGTACGTCTCGGGGCTGATGGAGAGCCACGAGACGAGGCGCGACTCGCGGGCGGCCGGTAGCTGCGCCGATACCGGATCAGGCAGCGGCAGCTTACCCGCGCCTGGCGAGACGCAGAGGCGAGAGGCACGGTCAGACCAGAGAGGGGAAGGGCGGCACGTTTCCCGCGCCTGGCGGGACGCAGACGAGAGGCACAGTCAAATAAGAACAAGGAGAGGAGAGGGAGGGCGGCAGGTCACAGGAGTGCCGAAACACAGACGATAGGCATAGTCGACTAGGAAGGTGGATGGCAGCAGGTTACCCCCGCCTAGCGAGGCACAGACGAGAGGCACGGTCAGACCAGGCAGAGGGGACAGAGGGGATACTAGGGAGGAGATGGCGGAGCCTGTCGAGGCACAGACCGCTAGGCGGCGTCAGACGACGGAAAGGGAGAGCTGGTGACACAACACAAGGCTAATGAGCTACGCCTGGCGCCCTGGCCTACAGTTTCACTAAAGCCACACTCATAAAAAACTTGGCTCAATGCGCACCATACAACAAGCACACGCAACTGCACAGGTGATTCGGTGAACTGCAAGAATAGCATAAAACGTATGGGGGGGGGGGGAGGAGACGTCCTGCTAAACGCTCAAAGTCCCCTCCCCAGGCCACAGTCCTGTCTATCACTCACCTATGGCGTCCAGCTGGCCCTGGAGCGCCACGCGCGCCTCGAGTCGGGCGCGGATCTGCTTCATCGTGGCTTCGACATGAAGGGCGGCCACCGACTCGGCCGCCGGCGCCGGAGGGTCCTGGCGAAAGGACAAAAACGGTCAAACAACGAAATGCAAAAAGTCAGACAGAAATATACAGACAGAAGGCCGGGGAATGGCAATCACATGAGATTGAGAAGCAAAAAAAAAAAACGAAGACCACCAACAGTCCGACGGATGACGGACTATTGGTCCTCAGGCGGTCAGACGGTCCGATAAGAACAAAGTCAGACAAAATAACTACAGTCAATCGCAGGCGGTCAGATGATGAGCGGTCAGATGACGCTAATACAGAATACTAGATAGAAATGGAGAATGGCAGAGTAGAATAACGATCAAATGACGAGATACATCGACAAACAGTCAGCTTAGGAAGCAGACCATCAGACGCCACCGTCAGACTACGGTCGTGCGTTCTCCCACCGCTCCATAAGTCCCCGTCCACCCACCTGCGTGCCGGCGATAAACTCCAGTCCGGCCAGCCGCTGCGCCCACAGGTAGGGTTTGCCGAGCTGCCCGGCGGTGATGTACTGTCCCAGCGGCGACAGGCCCGCGCGACGCAGCTGGTGAGCCGTCGCCGCCGACGGCGAGTCGGAGCCGGCGTCACCCGGCTCCAGGTAGTCGAGTAGCGACTCGGCCGACAGCAGGGCGCTGGTAAAGACAGCGGGCAGGGCGTTACTGGTTATTGTTGACGAGGCTCTGGTAAAGACAGGGGGAAGGGGGAAGCGTTACAGGTTACTGACGAACCAGCACGGCCCTGACACACGGTACAGGGGGTAGTGCTACTGGTCCAGACGGGCCTGAAGCGCATTGGTGCAGAATGATACCGGGCATTGCTATTGGACCACTTGGCTTGCGTGTTAATGCAAATAAAATATATTCAGTAGCAAAAATAATATTAATTTTTTCTACCTGAACTTGTCTTGGAGCACCCGCAACAGTGAACATAACGGAAAACTAAAACACCGTGGCATCAAGGATAAAACGTTTTGAGGTTCAGACAGGATTCAAGCTATTTTTGGAGTAGTTATACGATCCCAGCCAAAAAACGTTTAAGTTTTAGAGAGACTGCAGCCTAATGGCTTGCACTAAAATTAGAATCGCACTGACCTTAGGTACCTAAAGCATTTTACAACACTGAGCACCAATTTAGCTTGGATCAAGGTCCAAGTTTGTTGGTTTGAAGAGCCGTTAAGTCGGTGCAGCACTGCCAGAATCTGCTCACTACGGGACTGGTCAAAACACCTGATATCTCCCGGTCAAGGATGATGAGTGAGCGAACCAGCGAAAAGGGCGAGCGAATTTATAAGTGAGGGTTTCACGGTTTATCACGGTATGTGTACAGCCCTCGTCGACTGACTGCCGACTGGGGCGGACGGCGGAGGAAAGGCGGCAGGACTGATATGCTAAGAACCCGCTGTCGGAACAGTGATGTTGGTGACAGTGGTAGATATGACTGGGTGGGGTAGGTACTCGTACCCGCCCACTTAGACAGTCCTGGTGTTAGTGATGGGTAAACAATGCACATCTACCCAGTAAAGGCGCAGTCATAAAGCTACTGGTATTGATGGATAAGGTTGAATAGAATACATAACCGGCATGTTATCAGAGTTGGATAGCACTGGGTAAGTACACATACCCGGTGACGGCGCAGTCTTGGATGCCGACCGAGACGGTGACGATACCCAGTTGCGTGAGGTGTACAAACTCCAGCACCAGACGGCCCAGGTCTGAAACACACCGGTATCATACCGTGAACACAGGGTGACCGCCCGGCCGGTAATAGGGCGTTCAATGAACGGCCGTGAAATGTAACGAGAACCATGACTGCTGAACATTCAAGGAAATAAAAGAAAAGGAAACAAAAGTGAAGAAATGCGGTATTAGACATATTTCGTTGTGCATCTTTTATGGAAGATACACTCGTGTTTGGAAATGCATATAATGAATGCGATAAATTGTGTTTGACAAAATAATATTTCTACGCATTACCAACATGTCACTATCTACATATCGATAAAAATATAGGGGTTAGTAGAACACGATAAGTCACAAGTCTGGTCGAAACTACTATGACAATCACTGCCTGGCCATTTTCGGAGACACAAGGACTGCTCAGTACGGGTACGGCCGAGCTCATTACAGATAATGGCTAAGAAGGCCATAGTGGGCAATTATGTTACGGCACCGAGCCAATCCCCATCGTTAAACCTCAGTGATGGACCTATACTGAACTTGAGTGAATGTCATTAACTCACATTAACATCGAACGCGTTTAAATGGTTCCCCGTTCTGTACGTAACAAATATTAAAACAAAATAGACCCAATAGAGCGAACAACTCGGCTCATCGAGTGACATATATTAAAATAGGAATACAAAAGATCGCTTTCCATAAATGTTTGTCAGCCAGCTGAGCAAAGATGTGGTAGCCCGGAAAACACAACCAGTATACATCAAGCTAAGCCTCTTAGTCAATGGACATTGGACATTCACATTACAACTGATTAGTCGTGGCTCAAAGCCTACGAACAAATCGCGTTATCCACTGACCGGTGACCGGGTAGTGACCCCAGCACATTGCCCCAACAGACGGTAAATAACTTTTGAAAATACCAATTTCCAATTTTAGTGTTTTCTGGACCAAAATTTTGCGAGGAATCCGATGGTGTGGTCCCCGAAATCTGAAAAATTTCCATTTTGGAGATAGCACCTATTTTTTGAAAAATAAATATTCGTCAGACTTAATACTCAAATAAATTGGAAATATAATGAGTTAATTTTTGTAACAACACTAGAATGTGTCGAACATGAATTAGAGATACATTTTAGCTGAGATGATACTATATCTGCGCATACATGTACATGAACTAGTACATTAACCCTCGTCGGCCGAGAAGGGGTGGGGCGGGTGCCGCCTAATAGGGCTTTTCGCGATAGCTTAAAACTCGCTTAGGGTAGACAGCTGAAACTTGGCATACCTAATCTTTTATTCAAGCTGGATCTTTTGACCTCAACTGCGTTTTTAGGTCAGGTCAGGTCACTGACCTATGACGTCATAAATGAGCCTCTGCGAGGTCATCAGATGTTGCAACTTTGCAACGCCCTCAGTGCCAGAGGAACTTTCACAGGAAGATGAAAGTTACAGGACGTAGTATCCTTCAGAGGTCTCACAACTTGTATATCTCGGATTTAACCTAAATGTCACATGAGGTCAGGTCGGTCACGTGACCTCACCATTATAAGTCAATGGGGGAAATACGAAAACCGTTATTTTGGCGCCGGTAATGATCTAAAACTATCCCAAGCACATGAAATCGTGGTTTCATGATCGGACCTTACAAAGAGTACATGAAACCACGATTCATGTGCTTGGGACAGTTTTAGATCATTTCCGGCGCCAAAATAACAGTTTTCATATTTCCCCCATTGACTTATAATGGTGAGGTCACGTGACCGACCTGACCTCATGTGACATTTAGGTTAAATCCGAGATATACAAGTTGTGAGACCTCTGAAGGATACTACGTCCTGTAAGTTTCATCTTCCTGTGAAAGTTCCTCTGGCACTGAGGGCGTTGCAAAGTTGCAACATCTGAGGACCTCGCAGAGGCTCATTTATGACGTCATAGGTCAGTGACCTGACCTGACCTGAAAACGCAGTTGAGGTCAAAAGATCCAGCTTGAATAAAAGATTAGGTATGCCAAGTTTCAGCTGTCTACCCTAAGCGAGTTTTAAGCTATCGCGAAAAGCCCTATTAGGCGGCACCCGCCCCACCCCTTCTCGGCCGACGAGGGTTAATGTACTAGTTCATGTACATGTATGCGCAGATATAGTATCATCTCAGCTAAAATATATCTCTAATTCATGTTCGACACATTCTAGTGTTGTTACAAAAATTAACTCATTATATTTCCAATTTATTTGACTATTAAGCCTGACGAATATTTATTTTTCAAAAAATAGGTGCTATCTCCAAAATGGAAATTTTTCAGATTTCGGGGACCACACCATCGGATTCCTCGCAAAATTTTGGTCCAGAAAACACTAAAATTGGAAATTGGTATTTTCAAAAGTTATTTACCGTCTGTTGGGGCAATGTGCCAGGTGACCCGACGTGGTAGTGACCCCAAGTGACCGGGCGGTGACCCCTGGTGAGTGGTGACCCCCACTGACCCGTGGTGACCCAACTGACCCTTGCAGACGATCTCCACCACCACGAGCAGCGGATGTTTGTGCAGCAGTTTGCGCAGACGGGCGGCCTCCTCGTCTCGGGCCGACTTACGGTGGCGCTTCTTCCTCCTGGCCTCGTCCTAGGGACGGGGAGAGGGGCGGGGCACTGGTCAGTCACATAGAGACAGGCCATGGATAGCCGCACGAGCACGTATTGTTGCCGCGTACCCATACAGGAACAGGCCACGCCCGATCGTAAGTGAACCGAAGCAATCTCTGAAGTCTGAACCATCTAGGACTAAAATTGGTTCGGTATCATTTCAATTAGCGCCTGTTTTGAGTTCAAATCAAGCCATAACGAGGCCAGCTGCCACCTGAATAGACCTTTCGTGCCTCTTCGTGTCATGCTGTTGCTGTGCAGCCCGTTCCGTGTCACGCTATGTTGAACTAGGGCTCGCTCTCGACCGTCCTACATACTGCACGACTGGAAGCTATTGGCCCGTCCGACCGCTGACCATGCTTTCAGTCCGTCCGACGCTGACCGCTGGCGTCGTCTGTAGAGCCGTGGCCTGTCACCTGGAGGCAATGTCAGTCCATAAGAGCTTTGTGCGCTATCTTTTTTTTTCTATTTCCCCCTCATTTCCGTCAGCTTCATCGTCTGACTGCGGTCTCTCGGCACCTACACCGCTGACTGCGCGCAGAGGTCGGCCGCCGACTCTGCCAGCCGCCCGACCGGCAGTCGGTCGGCGGCCGTCGCACCAGAATGACGTTCGTCACCAACACCACTGAGCCGGCAGCAGCGGCGGCGGCAGCGGTGGCGGAGTGCGGCGCGGACGTCTGGCAGCTGAGCCGTCACCTGGTGTACGTCCTGCTGGCCGCCGCCGGCCTGGTGCCGCAGTTGTGCGTGGCGCAGGATCTGACCCGCCACCGGCGCTCGGCCCGCTCCGCCAGCGACGACACGCTGCTCACCAGGATGCGTATCAGCATAGTTCTTATGACGCTCTCCAATCTGTGGAAGCCAGTGAGCGAGCACGTGCACGCGTGGCCGTCTCTGGTGCGTCCCGCCTGTCTGGCGGCCTCCATGGTGGAGATTAACACGGTGGGTCTGATCTCGGCGGCCAACTGTCTGGTGAGCGCCTGTCGTCTGCAGCAGGTGAGTGCCGCCCGGCTGCCGGCGCTGGCGCCGCACCTCACACAGACCCGACTCCGCTGGCAGAACCGGCTGCTGCTCGCCGCCACCGGAGTCGGCCTGGCGCTGGCGCCCCTGTTCGGCCTGAACGGGTTCGGCTTCTACCTGTGCACCGGCGAACCGCTGCCGGAGCGGCCTCCGGCGCTGGCGCTGTTCGCCATCAACAGCAGTATCAACACGTCCAACTTCCTGTGCTGCGTGCTGCTGCTGCGCGCCAGCAGCGGCCGGCAGGGCACGCACCGGCCGCGCAACTACCTGCCCTCGGAGAGCTGGGCGCAGCTGGGTCTGTGCACGGTGCTGGTCGACACGCTGCTGGTGCCCATCAACACCAGCCAGCTGCCGGCCGGCAACAAGGCGCTGCTCAACCACCTGCACATCACGCTGCTGCACGGCGTGCTGGGGCCCGGCCTGCTGCGGCTGCTGGCCGGCCGCTGGCGGCACCAGGTGCGCGAACAACGGAGGAAGGTGGCCACCGCCGCCGAGCGGCCGCCGACCAGCACCCAGGCGGACATAAGGCTCGACCTCATCTAGGGTACAAAAGACATACAGCCTCCGACCAGCACCCAAGCTCGACCTCATCTAGGGTACAACGAACAACCCACCCGCCGAGCAGTAGGTACCCACGCAGACATAAGGCTCGACCTCATCTAGGGTACAGAGAACAACCCACCCGCCGAGCAGTACCCACGCGGGCTTACGGCTCGACCTCATCTGGGGTACAGAGGAGAGACGGCTGCGGAGCGCTGCACGGGTCAGCATTCTCGGACAATTCTTCCAGCGTTCCGTGCGCTGGTGCTCCACCCATATGGCCCCTATACATACACACAGAGTCTCGATCCCATTGGCACCGAGATTATTGAGCTGCGCCGTAAAGAGAACTACTCCGAACACTTAAACTTACTCTTGGCCGACTGTGTGTGAGTGTTGACATATTACGCCTAATATTGAGACAAGAATAGCCCACTGTGTGGCTGTCAGATATCACGGGCTAGCTTGTTGCGGGAAGAACAAAGTGACTGGAACTGTAACCTACGAAGGCCAGCGACAGTGGCGTGACTTGAGGACAGGAACAACTTTTTTCGTACGTGACCCGACTTTCGAATGGCGGTGCGAAAACGACGTGTTTTGCGAACGCACGTGAGGTCCCAGATATTTGGGAGACATAAATGTGGGGTGGACAGCAGAGAATACCAATTACCAGTACCTGAATATGATGAGCTTAGAATAGAATAGACCTAGCTGATCTCATGAGTCATAAGTGAACCGTTTGATTCTGAGCATTGGCTGTACCTGGGGTTCTTTCAAAGTAACTTGTCACGCGTATCATGCAACACAAGCGCAGTAATGTCATTTTCATTAAAATTCTTGACACAAAAAGTTGACTAGAACTTCCCTCCACAGCGGTTCCCACTGAGACAATCCTACGCTCAGCTGCAATAAAGCCAAAAGACAAGCTCCGATCGTAGATATTGCCGAATATCGGTAAATAGCCAGGCCGGACTTTACTGATCTATATTTGTCGTTTCTCAAAATGCCGCTCGCTAAGTCTACAGCCGCAGTATTGATTGCGACATACATATGTATCAAGACGAAGACGAGCGTAGTTCCGTCCCCGCCGGATGCCTTTGTGCCAGTGTATGTACCTTCGCCAAGTGCGCTGCATGGTGTACTAAATATACCGGCTATAATTGACCACTGGCTGAAGTTCTGTTTGATGTTCGATATTTTCATTCGATATAACCCATCGCACGTCCAGCGGCGCCGCGTCGCTCAACGAAGCTTGAACTGTTGTAAAGTTTCAACAAGACATCCCAGGGTCTTTAATGAATTGCAGGAAGCACAAACTAGGGAGCAGTTTTTACCAAAGACTCAACCAGTCTGCGGCCCGCTGAGAGCTACGGCTGTCATGTCAACGTCCCCTCCCTCCTCCAAACTTACACCTCAGCCACTCAGCAAGAAGCAGCAGGTGGAAGTAAAGCGTGTATCAAAACAACAGTACTTTTTCAGTCAATTTTAGGTCAGTACCGATCACCCAAGGTGAACAAATATCGATGTTTCGATGCTGATGCTTAACAATGAACCAAAGCATCTAGATCTAGGAAAACGAGAGAGGCAAGCATTAATTTAGGTCAATGTCGTGTAATGTTGGAAGTGACTGTTCAGACATGAAGCCCGAACAGATTATGATTTTGCCTTTATCCCTGAACTTTAACGGATGCTCCAGAGCATAGCTAAAGAGGTAGAAGCTACCACGATCTCTGCTGCGTTCCCCGAAGGTCATAACACAAGGTTTGGACTAATTGGTTCCGATAAGACAAACAAAGCCTGATATCCGACAAACAAGAGTACGGATCAGATCATTAGCCATCAAGACTGGCCCGATAATGCCAGTTACAATGATTACCATATGCAGGGTGACTGATGTCGGCTGTTATACGTAGTAATAGGTAATCTATACAGTCTAAAAAGACTTCTGAAAACGCTACCTCACAAAACGTGCCATGATTCGAAGCGTGCTGTATACAAGGCACTTTGAACGCCATCGTATAGTTTGATTTACCCTCACAATTCCAACGCTGCTTACAACAAGCAAGAATCTGACAATTCCACTGCTTCTACGCCGACTGTAGTTAACCCATCATGTAACTGAGCGTATGTAATCACACCACAAAAGGCAGTGTAACCACAGCAATTCGCTATGCTGGGGAGAAATACTCGGGGCTCTGGCGCCGGTGGCAGTCCATTCTCCGGTGCTCGGAAATAGCGCCAGTACATCACTCGTGGCATGGCCCGCATTAGCGCGCAGACCGACTGCTGCTGGGGAGAGGGGTGCAGTGCGGGGCGGCCACAGAGAGCTCAGGTGACCGGGCGGGGCACCTACGGACTACGGGTGCAGCAAACACAGTCGCGGGCAGACGTGGGGCGACTGGCTGCCGCTGGGACTAGCGAGAAAAGCGGGTGTAATGAAATTGAGTAAATGTCAAAGTGACACGTTACCCTTAAGCGAATGCACAATGAGTAACTGCTACCTGAGTCAACAACCACTTCTGAGAGAATTCGAGCGAGTGGAAAGGAAATCGCAGCTGCACCATAAACGGACCTGTTATGAAAGGCGACTCAAGAACGACACAGAGTCGGCAACACCATTACGACTCCGACCTACGAGGTACAGTCTGCATAATCACGGTCAACGAAATAGCGACTAAAGCCATGTCTGGCATTGTTTGTGCTTTATCAACCAAAACCGAAATGCAATAGTATGCATGTCTCATTTCATTCATATACTCAGTCACACGAAACTATTACATCAGTTTCCAGAAGAGAAGACTTGGCGGCGCCGACTCGTTACCGCAGCGGAGCCCGTTCCATTCAGCGTCCAGCCGCCGCGGCGCAGATTACACGTTTTCACCAGTTAAATGTCGTATGTGGCGGTCGCAGCTGAGGAGTCCATTCACTGGCTGTGCCCTGTTTGGCCAGGTTAAATAATCTATGTCCGACCCGGTCAGGCAGACGTCAGCCCCGTGCCGCCGCCGAGCCGCCTGCGACTCAGCCCTACCGGCTACCGCCTCATTCAACTCCGACCAATCCCCACTTCTGGTCCGACTTCCGAGTCGTCTCCCGACTCGACCTGGGTCTGGTTTCATAAAGCGAGTCCGTAACTTACGCCGGTTTTTGCGGCTTGTATTGCAAGCGCATGTAAAGCGATAAATTCATTTCCCCTTCTCCCTTAAATAAATTCAACGATTCAAACTATCGTCATCGCTTCACATGCACTTGCAATACAAGACCAAAAACCGGCGTAAGTTACGGACTCGCTTTATGAAACGGAGCCCTGGTCTGACCCACATCTGGCCTGGCTCCGACCCACTTCTGATCCGACTCCGACTCACCAGCTCTGGTCTGATCCACATCTGATCCGACTCCAACCTCAAAAACAACAACAACAACAACAAACTCTGCCACCTGGTCTGACTGCGACTTCGATTCACCTCTGATCCGACTCCGACTCACCTCTGCCTCCTGGTCTGACTCCGACTCGTCTCCCGACTCCCTCTGGTCGGCCATTTTCAGGGTGACGGCCTCCTCCTCACTGCCACATATGGTGGCGCTGATGGACGAGTCTGTAACGAACGAACACCGACTGTCACCACTAGAATACCCGAGGGACCGGCACGCCGCACGGGCACAGGTGCGGGCAGAGGGCGCACTATGTCGATCCACACGCTATGTTATACATAGAGGTTTAGTGAAGCTCGCCTAGGACGCCGCAGTGTAGGCAGAGCGTATAAACGGCGCTTGATTTGCGATTATTGGATAACTTTAACAAGTATAATGGTTGTATAATCCTCGACTTCCCAGTTTTGTGTGTTAGATGTTAACTGTCGGAGTCCAAAGTTAGCCGGAGTGGCTGTGCTCTCTGAACTCACCGCAGGCCTCGGCGTAGGCGGTGGTCTGCACATAGAGCAGGTAAAGCGGCCGAGGCAGCAGAGCGGCCAGACGGTGCTGCTGCCGACGCTGGTCCAGCGGCAGCGACAGCTCCTCTTGCAGCGGCTGCGTGCTCTGGGGGGAGGTCAGGATAGACTCAGGGCTCGGGCAGACAGGCCATTTCACTCATTGGGTTCTCTGTTGTAGATATGGGCGGACTCAGGTCAATGCACACTCCACGGAAAGCTGACGGCGGAGCTCACTAGAAACACAAAAAGTATAACAAATGTTTTCATTTCCTACACATGACGACCACGCGAGAGATCGCTCGAGAAATCAAGCCGCCTTCCTGGAAGGCATACTGTTATGAGTAGCAGTCAGAGGAGCTGTAATACATATTTCCCGGACTGTGCCTTTTGAGGTGGAACGAAATACTCCATGTGGAACGAAACGAAGGCAATTTCGAATCCTAAAATGGCACATTCCGGTGGCCTTTCAGACTTCAGAATACATCAAACCAGGAAGCAGCGTACGTCCTTTGACGAGTTCTTATTTCTGTTATTATTTCATTCTCTGTAAGTGCTTTTTCTTATTTCTTAGGTTACTTTTCTGAATCAAAAACAAAAAACGACTCGTATGAACACCGCATTCGCGTCTACCGTCTGATCATAATCAGAGCTTACTACCCCGTCCTCTTTAAAGGGACAGTATCACCATTTTGATGAAATTTGACATTGCATGGCCCCACCTTTCTGGTCCGGGAACTGAAGACCGATCCTCGAAGCTCCACACCGTTATCCCGCTATCGCCGCTCAAAGTACGAAAGGTGTACCACACTTTGAATCGTGCTTCACTATCTTCACTGTTTAAATGTTTGCGCCGTTTTGAATTGACCGCCAGTAATAAAACTTTTACCCTGGTCATTTCATCAAATTTTATAAAGCCAAAACGTTTTTCGCACTTATTCATCACCGTTAAATTCATTAAATAGTCGTAGGCAATTTCCGCTGTTTCCTTCGGATTCTAGCGGCTCAACAAAGGAATTCCTCCAGCTTGAATCACAATCTCCCTCCAATGTATGACGTTTATCACGTGATTGTCACGTGATATTTTCTCCCATTGTCAATTGTCACGTCCAATTGTCACTCCCTCCAATTGTCACGTTATATTTTTATAGGCAATACCTAAGGCTACCTCTCCCTAAGGACAACTCAATCAGAAGAACGACTGCGTAAGCGTAGCGTCAATAATGTATTATCTGCGCCAGTTCTGTAGTAATTTTGCATGCTTCCAAACTGGCGGCCATGCTTGTATAGTGGTGGTTCGCTCATGAAAATGAATCATGAAAATGAAATGTGGTTGCAATATTTTTCACCGAGTTCGGTCCTCAAACTATGTTTTTCTGATTCAGAAAAATAAGAAATGCTAGTAAAAAAAAAATCAGCTCCATACATGGATTTTTTTTCGATGATACTGTCCCTTTAAGGCGTTTACCCATTGTCACAACACCAACCTTCTGAGAAGCAACTGAATACCACCACGTATGAGACAGACTACATCAGCCACCCAAGCCGTCTGGAAACCCAACCACTGCCTGTCTGAAAACGGTCGCGGTGAGATCACGTCCGTCCGTGATAGGACAACATGGCAGTGTGGCCGTTATTGACAGCTATCACCGTACCGAGTGCCGACCGTTGCCGACTCTCTAGATGATCGTTTGGATGACCGGGGCTCTTTGGGAAAATCTTAGCAAGAAAATACTGAAAAGGAATAGTTAAGCCCAGAATTAGCTAGTACTCACAAAAAGGCAAGCCAATGATTATCCAAACAAATTAGTAATAGCTAGCCTACAGTTTAATTCACACAATAAGCAGCATTTTAGCAGTCCTGTTTTACTGAACTGTCGCCGGTACCTGTAGCACGGCGGCGAGCTGGGGCGCCAGGTCGCTGAGCCGCTTCCTCTGCTGTCCGATACGCTGGCTGATGCGCCGTTTGTCCGTGTCCAGCTGGCGACAGTCGGCGGCCAGTCGTCGGCGCTGCTCCAGCTCCCAGTCCAGGCGCGCCAGGTGGCGGCGGTGTTCGTCCTCGCGCGTCGACGACTGCGAACGGGGCACGGGGGACGGAAGGTCAGTGTGGTGGGGGACTGATGTCCAGTTAATGGGAAAGAACTTCATGATATGGTTCTCACACAAAAAGCGACAAAGACACATTATTTTTATCTGAAGATAAGCAAACACATAGACCTCTGTAAACCTCTGTATACCTCGGTATACAGAGGTCTATGGCGAGCACAACAAATTAACGTAAAAAAGCACCACCGGAGCGCATCACGCACCCAACGAACAATCTGGCTGGTGGCTAATCTGTTCTAACACAATGGCTCACCGGCTGGCTAATTTCCTCGGGAGCATCGCGGTAGAACTCCTCCTCAGAGACCAGACTGATGTCCTCGTCCTGGGACCTGTCGGCGCAAACAGCACACAATGCAGCAGGTTATATCGCGGCGACCTAGCGTCGCATATCGAGCATCGGAGCGACTCAAATCCTCTGCTCTGAATGTACGACGTTCTATCAACTAGGCAGGGAACGTGCTATCATAACCGCAGGACTGCATACAGTTTTTCAACCAAAACTGTCAAGGCCAAACAGGGTCAGCGATTTTTCGGCAAGATATCTTTGTTGATGGGACTTAAGGGAAACCAGACTGGTTTCAAAGCAAAGCTAGCTGAAAAGTTACTCGACATGACTGAATAAATTGCTGTTTATTTATCCCACTTCCCCATACCAGACAGGATGGCAGCCATATCGTCGCTGTAAGAGCGCCATTGCCTACTGACCTAAACTCGAGGCAGCGGTTGATCTCTCGTCGCACGTGCACGATCTCGTAGAGCAGGTTCTGCAGCGTCAGGTGGAACGTGTCCACGCGCTGTTTGGCGGCGTGCGTGTTCTCGCGGGCCGCCTTCAGGCGCGCCTTCTCCAGACGGTTGATCTTCTTCAGCGCCAGCACGTGCAGTCCGGCCAGCGCGCGCAGCTCGGCGATCCGGGACCGGTTCTGGCGGCCGCAGACCATCAGTGCCGGGGGACTTATACGGGCAGGTTTGATATAACAAAACAGTTAATTTCCCCACTTCAGTACAAAAGACAAACAGAAATAATGAACCACCGTCCACCGTGCGTACACATATTCAATACACTGCGCGACGTACGTACACCGTACCAGAAATCAGAAAGCTTACCTTGTCTGGCGATCTCTTCAATTCTTCAATTTGACTCATCAATTTTCTGATTGTGTCACAGGTTAGATGGAAGAGTTTCATGTCTTGAGCAGATGACCTTTTAGTCGACTCAGTTTCTTCAAATTCAATGGCATTCTGAAATAAATGAATGAATGAATAAGTTCGAATATCATGTTGATCATCCTCATCCCCATGGTGGTATTGGTAAAATGAGGGACCATGAAAACAGCTAAAACACTCAAGTAACCTACTCAATTAGCGAGCAATCATTCTAACTACACACAGCAAATCACAAACAGTCTCCTAGTAAGTGCTGGGTGTCCATAGCCGAGGCAGTCCCTAGGCACTGTACAGACGCTGTAAAGAGAAGTCAATAACACGAACCATAAAAGTAAATGACCGGCCAGCGCCCATCGGCCGCAGCGCCCGACCGGTGGAGACTGTGAGTGACAAACAGTGACAATTGGTACTGGTGTGGTAACTGAGAGTCGGCAGCACACTCGCTGTGCTGCTGGTTCACTGCTTCAAATGCATAGAAGCCACCGTCACTCAGCAGGGAGTTGAGTGAATTGACCCTCTCAGTGTTGACGGAGTTCAAGCAGTCGTCCAAGTAAGAATAACAGCCCAAGTACTTTGCCCGCCACCTCATGGTCTTCTTCGCTCCCTTATTCTGTGGAACGTCGGAGCTACATGTTGTGTCGGAGTAGCGGCATTGTGATAGTTTGACGCCGAATATGATCAACTTCATTCGTGAGGCCGCGTACGATGGCATTTACCGCAAAGCGCTACACCTAACAACACGCACTGCTGGGTAGGTATGTAGCACTGAGGTGACTGCGACACGCAGAAGACACGAAGTTCGCTACAGCTATTAAACTCTGCCTACTCTACTCATTTCTCGCGAGAATTTTGTCGCAACGCTAGACACCGTGTGCGCTGACTGGCATGTCCCATGAACGGCGCGTTTTTCGGCCCTCCATTGTCTTATTGCCGCTATACTCACTGAGTGAACAGTCGTCTCTCGCGTAAACCATGCAGCGCTCCATAGTAAACACACGTATCAGTTAGCCTTCAGTGTCATGGCTAGCCGACAAACCGAAAGATACCGGCACAGCCCATCGTCGAGATCGCTTAGAAGCATCTGCCAGTTGGTGCCATTGTCCATCACCCATTCTCACTCCACATCCATATGGGATTCACTCACTGGAAGTTTTCCTGTCACAGTGGTGATGGTGGCTGCTTTGGCCAGGGCATGCTCATAGGATATCTTATATTCTCAGACTCACAAGACAGCTTGGCTAACATGAAAGGTTGTAGCATTGTACCATCCTAGCTTTAACCAGTGCAGTCATTGCTTTTTCAAGTTAACAGGCCGGCTCACCGAACACACATTCCAGCTTACACAAAACAGAACTGCTCAGCTCAGACTGGCATTGTAAAGCATAGGTATCTACCAGAAACAAACTAGCTCATCAGCCAAACAGCCCAATCTGGAGGTAGGCTAGGCATTCAATGCTGGTCAGATCAGCATTTTCATGCACTAGAAACTTCAAAAAGGGCTATCTAGCATGACCATTTGGTTGTGAGAATATTAATCTTCCTTTGAATCCAGGGTTTGATGGATTAAGGATAGAGTGCAATGGCACATATACACACAGATTCTGCAAAAAAGTTCAAAGCTCTAAAGTTTATATCTATATCATCAGATCAGGCATTCCCTTGACTGTACATGCATGTTGCTTGCGACCAATCTTCTTGACTAAGCTGTCTAACCTGACCCATGATGTAGCTGATCCAGAGTACCTACTTAATCTTATTGCAATTGATTGGACTTGCCCAGTGAGTCCTTTGCAAGCAAAAGCATAAAAAGGCACAAGAAATACATGATTTCCTGGAAGATCATGCATATTCTGATCCTAGCCAGTTTGACCAAGCCTTCTTGGTATTGGTATATATTAGGTCCGAGTGGACAATTGTGACGCTGTTGATACAAATATGTAACAGCAAAAAATTTAGGTTTTAGGTTAGGTTAGGTTGTAGGTTTGTAGGTTTTAGGTTTTAGGTTGGTAGGTTTGTAGGTTAGGTTAGGTTGTAGGTTTGTAGGTTGTAGGTTGTAGGTTGGTAGGTTGTAGGTAAATAGGTAAGGTTAGGTCAGGGCCCTGTTTCACCGGTGATAGCAGCACGCTGCTATCACACGTGTCAAATTGGGTTTCCATGGAAACATCAACAAACCATGACGCCGTTAATCTGTGTGATGTCATCAAATATTGCTGCTAACATCTTCACGGCCGTGCGATCAAACAAATGTTATCAAACGCATTCAACGAGACAGCAACTCTGTTCCAAACGCAGCTCACGGATTACACAAAACGTCATTAGTGTGACGTCATCACATTACGTCAGCTTGCGCAATTTGATAGTAGCGTGCTGCTATCACCGGTGTAACAGGGCCCAGGTTTGATTATGTTTTTTCTTTTATTTCCAAGACATATAAGTATCATTTTTGGATTCAGGATGTCAAATAATGTAAGAATATAAAAACTTTATCTTTTATCAGTCACTCGGACTCAATGTATACTTTTACCGCCTTCTTTACCTTCCACTCAGTAATGTTTTTAGAATAACTAAGTGATCAGGCACAATGACAAGGGCAGTGTTTCACGGCAGCGCACGGCACAGCAGCGCATTGGGTTTCCATGTTAACACCAATAAACCTGGACGCTCACAACGCTTGAGTGCCAAGCCGAATTGGTCTCAAACACCACACTAATACAACAGTACAGTGCACTGCATGGCAGGGCTGTGAAACACTGCCAGGACAACACAGAACAGACACACTGCAGATGAAAACTTACCTCATAAGGGTCAACTATTTTACAACAGGAGGTGGCGCTACAGTCTTTGCTCCGCTTGATGGGCTACTGTTGCTTTGAACTCGTTTTCTCTTCTTTGGGGACACAATCTCTTGTGCCTCAGCTGCTTCGACCCGTTTGGGCATTTTTGTAGTAACAACGCCTCCTCGCTACAAATGACAAATGCACAGCTTGATATATGGCCCCCAAGGACGTAACCACACAGCAATTCCAAGGCAGCAATTCAACCCAATTCAATGCCAGGCGTAAGCCAAAGCCCGTATCAATGCAAGCAAGTTCGACCTTGTTCATTTCTAGCTGCGTACTTCAGTAAACGTAGATGGTACAATAAACAAGCAGCTAAACAAATATGAACTTCAGTCCATTGCCCTCTGATAGGATTGTAAATCTTTAATCTAAAGAAATTGAAAAAATTGAAAAAATCATACATCGTTCGTAATTTGATTGTAGCTTGAATTGTTCGTCAATTATTGGGTAGAAAGATGCTATCACCAAATTAAAAAATAGAACAGCATTTAACGTCAAAGAGCAGCCGGAAATGAAACAAAGGCTAGCGCTACCAAATGCTACCATATTCTATTGGATAGCCTTGGCCTTGGACTTGCTTGGGCTTTTCAAAATTGCTTTCAGTTTCTTTCGTTATTATACGGCCTTCGGTTTTTCCAAGAGTTTTTCAGGCTAAAGACGAAAGCAACATATTTTTGTGATCATAGCTATAGTATCTCTACCCCATACTCTACCCAGAGTATTTTCAAACTCTGTCCATCTTGATCTGCAATTTGCAGTCTGAGGGGTGTTCACGGGCACCGCACACTGCTGCGTGCGGTGTGTGCGGTGCGTCCAGCAGGCGTGGGGGTAGGGGATGGGTAGGCGGCTCTGACGTCACGGCTGCGTGCGGTGGACGGTCCGCTGTGGCCAGTCCCGACCGGCCACAGCGATCGCTGTGTGCGATGACGGAAGGCTGACGTAGGGACGCAGTGGGCGGAGCTTGGAGGCTGTGTGCGGTCCGACCGCACACAGGGCCCGTGAACAGCCCTCTGGTGCACCGAAATGGCATCCTCTCGGTCCTCTCCAGTCTCCGGCAAGGCCCTAAAACATACTCTCCGGGGATAGGGAGCGGCGGCGTGCTCCCGAGGAGTGGCTTTTTGTTTTGTTTGTTTTTGTTTTGTTGGGTTAGGCCCTTTCGGTCCAATGAGACCATTTCAGAGCTGGGAGGATGATAGGATAAAGGGGGAGACATTGGTCTGGGCAGGCACCCTAGTGAGTTGCCGGGCTGAGCCCGTCCAGAGGACAGGCCACCCAGCCCCAAGGCACTGACTGCACCCGGCTACGGGGTGCGCTCCCTCGGGAGCAGCGGTGCCGCTCCAAGGGAGCAGCCCGCATGAGATAAAGTTGCCTGTCCAGCCTGGAGGGTGGTTGTGGCGTGGAGGAGAAGGATTTCAGTATCCTGAGGATAGAAGCGCGGAACGGTGTGAGGAGTGGCTTGAACAGTGATTCCTTATATACGGCCTTGAGTGATTCTGAGCAGTTGTCGCGCCACTGATGTGAGGCCGCACAATGAACCACCCTTGACAGCGAACGGGCGTTTGAGGGCAGGGTGGCCGCCTGTTTTGCCAGGGCGCTCTCATTCCCCTCGATACTGCAGTGGGCACTGGCAGGAACCCACTGCTATTGCTTAACGACGCTTGGCGACGCTCAACAAGGTTTTCCATACCTATCTCAATCTACGACGAATTGAGGCTTTACCTGGGCGGCCGTTCCTCCGCTGAGTAGACTCAGGGCAGGTAGCCAGTTCGAGCACGCGACGACCGGGGGGCGGGGCGGGGATGTCTCGTCCCGCAACCTCTCCAGAGCCGCCTGCGGGGCGAATCTGCTGCTAGATTGAACAGCGTACGCCGCACCGCATAATTTCGGTTACTGTCTTTCGCCGGAAAAAAATATGCGATCGCTCTGCGCCGGAAAATTTGTCCGCCGCCATGTGCTGAATTCGGCACATGCGAAGTTACACCGGACGTGCACTGAAATTTTCGGCGCAATCCCGCCACTACGCCGGACATATACAGCATAACATGTATTTTTTCCAGTCTGGCAGTCTGCTGATCAATTCACCTGCTTGGTTTTGGGTTCCCTTGGTCAGAGACATCTCTATTCCATAACAAATCAAAATGTGAACAAGGTTTGGGTTAGAGTGCTTACCCAAATGGAATATGATGAAAATGGATCCTCTATTCTCCAGCACTGTATCATGTCTGCTCGGATCAACCTGACCTTGATCGAGAAGCCGAGTTGGGGGGGGGGGGGGTAAATTGTAAAACGCTCCCAGTAGTACTCCAGTTCCACAGCAGACCACCAGCTCAGCGCGGGTTAATACCTAGGTAATAACCTTTATTGGTGTTGTCAAAGCTGAGCGCTGCAGCTACATAATCTCTTCTACCCCCTAATGTGAGCATTGACTGGTGCCTTTATCTCCAGATGTTTTGAGCTGTGCAAGGCAAAAGCAGTGACAGTAATCCTGTCACCACGATAATAGGATGGCAATGTCAAATTTCAGAATGGCACTACCACCACAACATGAACCCAGGTCTTCAAGAGTTGCATCATTTGCCAGCTTGTCAACGCCAGCTGGTGCTTTGAACCAAGTTCCTGATCGGTAAGTTACACACACATCTCCGCATTAGCGTCAGTCAATTTGATTAAAGTGATGAATCGTTGTTGTTGATTCATCCTCGAGTGATTTTGTTTTCAAAGTGCATATATTTGCCTTTTCCTCATCGTTTATTTTAGTTACCACCCCAGGAAGGGTACATCCACAGTGTATGGTACATCATAATCGTAAACGTTGTTTGTGCAGCTGCCAATTAGATGCAGGTGTTCGGTTATTTTTATACAATTACGGCAAGTGTGGTGGGTCTGATGCCTCCCCATCCCGTCCCCAGTCGTGTGACCCTCCCCGCCCCTCTCCAGTTGCCGGTATGAAACCCGCCCCCCCCCCCGCCCCTGCCAGTCTAGTAGACTTTTCTCCGGTCTCTCCCAGTGTGCTCTGTACCACGATGCTCCTTTCCCCAGTGTGTTTGACGCGTCTGAAAGCTCGGAGGACCGCCGCCTGTTCACCATCGTGCACGGTGTGCGGGAGGACTGCATCAGGCTGCTGCAGCAGTTCGAGGCGCGCCAGTCGCTCCGGTTCAACGACTTCTCCGCCTGCTGGAGGGATATGATGTTCTCTCACATACTGAGGTGGGTAGGGTCTCGGTTTCTGGAAATATTGGTATGTTGTCGCCTACAATACATTATGTGAGAAGAATATTGGACAAAATCGGGATGATCTGAGCTTCGCAAAGCAATATTGCTAGTTTTTGTTATCGAAACTAACGGAAACGGAAACTATTCTTACGGAAAAGTACAGATGTAATATCAATCGTGTCTGCGTGTGCATGCGGCTGGCATCCGGGTCCATTTTAGCGACGATAAATGTATGACACCGGTACGAGCATTACCTACACCTCGGAAATTCACAAGCCTTATATGGAGATTGTCACTGGTGTATCCGACCGTTGCGTTGCCCGGTGGCTGTTTTATTGACCTGTGTCTGACGATCGTTTGGGCAGCGGCCGGTCAATCGTGGCTGAACGGATCGAGTACCTCCAGAAGACCATGGCTATCGCCGTGCGGCTCTTCGTCAACGGACAGGACATCATCAGAAAAGTGGGCGCCCTGTACCTCATGTACGGCCTCTACATGAAGATCGGAGCGGGCGAGAGGTGAGCGACGTGCGGTCGATGACTTACTAGTTTTTATGTTATGCCAAATAAAGTTTGATTAAGTGTTAAATTCGTTAGTTGCTGCCGTGTTCAATTCACCAGTTTCAACTCGATGATGTCGATATAGCACTGTAGCGTGCATTTGGTACTACACCCTACAACAAACTGGGTTATATAACTGTCAGTCACCTTTCGCTCGCCGCTTGGCCGCAGGATTCTGGTCGGGATCCGGGTCACACCGCTCGTCTGGGCGGCGCTGAAGGAGGTCCGCGAGCTCGTCGTCCAGCAGAATCACCACGACGTCCTATTCGTCATCGACAAGCTGCTCTTCATGTCGGCATTCGTTTTCGTCGCCCAGGACCGGGAGGTGAGTCAAGCGCCGGCCTGCAGCTGGAAGATTTGTTAAATTACGCCCCATGTCGGGTAGTATTTAACGAAGTATTTGTTGTCGATGCTCCATTTAGCATCACCACGAGTCGCACGCTGTACTGTGACTGACGGTGGTCGCCGCTGCGCCCGCTCTCAGCTGGCGCCGGACCTGCTGCATCGCTCGGCCAAGACGGACGCCGGCGACGAGGACGCTGGCGACGAGCTCGAGGAGGAGAGCCCGCTGCAGGAGTACCTGGAGGACGGCGGCCTGCAGCAGCTCTCCACGCTGCACACAAAGTACGAAGCCATCAAGCAGCAGCTCTTCAAAGGTGGGTCTCTGCCAGACGGAGTCGGTTCTGTGCACACATCGCGGCCACGTAATTTGGGTTATTCAGATAGTATCGAAGAAGATAGAAGAATTGTTCCGTGAGGAAAAAATGCAGTAGCGTCCGGACTTTGTCTTGGTTTTCTTTGGACGCTGTTTGTATCACAAGAACGACAGCTAATGTCGGAAAATGGATGTCAGATTTTCCTAACAGAAACATAACCTTAGTAAAATAACAAATCATGGATTAGCTATCGCATTTAGTTCAGAAATTGACACTGTTAGCTGGTGGTCAAAATATGACTCCCTTGCGAGCGGATGAGACAGATTGTGTTGTCTGTGACAGGTGCCAACATCGAACGCATCTCCTCTCTCGGTGCTGATGTCGCTCCCGACATACAGAGACGTCTGGAGGCGATCATAAAGGGGAAGGCACCGGCGGCGGCTGAGGCGGCCGCTGAACAGGACAAACCCACTACACGTGAGTAGCTGCGGGACAGCCGGGCTCACCGTGAGGCCTTGATGGTGCATGCAGTTTTGCACTGTGTGAGGATGTATTCAGCATAGCATGCTGGTAGACATCTGTCCATACACACAGGCAGGCCTTTTCTGGGATGATATGTTGCATTTCTTGCTGCTCTACATTATGTTGATGAACTTTGTGGTTGTCCTCGATAACCGCCATAATTGAAACTGACACGTTTTATCGCTTCACAACGTTTCGGACATAGTGGTTGACTTTGAACCCCGTGTGTCCGCCAGTAACCGGACGTCGCGGTGCGCGGGAGCGGGCCCTGGCGCGCTTCAGAGACGAGCCGGCGCCGCAGTCGCCGCCCGACGAGGGACCGGAGTCCGCCTCGTCAGCGGATGAGCACACAGCTGAGACCTCCCCGCCCCCGTCCCCTCCCAAACGGGCCAGAGGGCGCGGCGGCCGGCCGGCCGGAGCCAGCGCCCGGGGAGGCGCAGCAAAGGGTCGAGGAGCCGGGGCTAAGGCGGGACCCACTGGGCCAGAGGCTGTGGAGCGGGGACCGAAGGCCGACGATCCGGGGCCGGGGACGAGTGATGTGGGCGCTGAACCGATCAGTCGTACACGGGAGACGGTGTCTAGCGACGGGAATGACATGTCCCTGGGCGACTCTAGCCCGCCGGAGTTTCCCTCACCCCGTGGTCGTGGCAGCAGGAGAGGCTCCAGAGGAAGGCCTGGGCGTGCTAAGGTACCAACATCCCGAGGTCGCGCCAGTAGGGGGGCCGATCAAGGTCGCGAAAGTCCAGATGGGTCCCCGTCCGCTCGAGGTCGAGGCGGCAGAGCGTTGTCTCGGGGCAGGGGTGGTCGTGCAAAGATACCTACTTCTCGTGGTCGGGGCAGGAAGGGAGCCGATCGAAGAGGAAGTACGAGCCCGGAAAAATCTCCCTCCACTCGAGGTCGTGGTGGCAGGGGGAGTTCTCGGGGAAGAAGTAGAGGTCCGTCGATGTCTCCTTCGCGCGGGCGCGGCAGGAGGGGAGATTCTCAAGGAAGAGTTCAGAGTCCTGGGGCGTCGTCTCCCTCGCGTGGTCGTCCCAAAAGGGCAGCCTCCCCATCGCCATGGATGGGGAGGAATGAGGGTCCTGAAGCGTCTCAGTCGTCCACGAACCCCAGCGAAGTGGAACTCGTAATGGTCGAAGAAGTTACGTCACCTACACGAGGTCGGGGTAGGGGATCGAGCACCGGTGGTAGGGCTCGAGGTCGGGGTCGTGGTCGCGGTCGGGGTCGGGGTCGAGGTCGGGGCCGCGGCAGCGCTGCGCAGTGATCTGGTCTGCTGTTAGGCACGTCAGGCCAGTGTGTTGGTCCAATTGGCATCCTTTTGTACTCGCTCGTTGTCAATGTGTTACTGCGACTGAAGGCTCTGATTTGATAAGATGTGATAATTTGAATACAGAAAGTCTTTTGTTTTTGTAAGATGTCTTTACGTCGCTTTAGGGAATAAATACGCGAATTGGGGATAACTGAAATCGGGTGAGCGAAATTTTTTCTACAAGTAGAAAAAAAACGTAAGTTTACGTTCTGTGTGTGTGGCTGACAGGATATTTATCTGTGTTATCGGGGAATAACGAAAAATTAGATGCATTTGTTTCGGAAAGAGCTACGAAAGCTTTTGATATTTTTTCAATACCATTTGCTTTGAATTTCGGATATCTAGTAAACACTTCATGTTTGGTGCATGTGCTGACCAGAAGCAGTTAGATGAATGTGGCCGTTCTAGTCTCCGGCTACTAGGTAAGCACTCGGTAGCCATCTGCAGCTTCTCATCGTTGCCGAAAGATATCTGTGTGTACTCGTGATAGCGGCACTTTAAAACCAGAACTGTTTGCTGATGTCCCACAAGTGTGTGTTGTCATCATCTGGGTGCGTCGTTGCGAAGACATCCGTGACAGTGCTCGGGATAGCGCACTTTTGGAGAAACCGGTGGCTGAGAAGGTACGTGGACTGTCATGTTCTAACAGAAATTCCTCGCTTTTTAGATTTTTTATTGTGTAGGCATGACGAGAATAGGAAACAAATTTTACATAAACAATTCTTGTCACGGCCGTCGATGTATTGATCTACATACTACGTATTGCCTGCTTCCCATGTGTTCAATCGAATCTGGTTGATTTATACCGATAGTGGTAGGGTAAACACAATTGACATGTGTTAGATTATTACATGAATGTTTATAATAATTGTTCAGTCTCACTGCAGCCTTCTGCTCAATGTTGAATTTTGTCCGATTTGTGTTCAGATGGTTGAATCGCTCATGCAGAACCGGGAGTGTGACCCAAAACCCAATAGCGTCATACATCCGAGTTTAGTTAGCTCACTATATGTTCATCAAAGGACTGGGTCATGTGATGTTTTACCCTCAATTGACAACTTTGTCATTACATTTAGGCAATTGAATTTTGCTTCCTGCTTGCTGCAACGTCTCCTTATTACGCACGCATCATTTCAGCGCATCACTATGAAGCTCCTGGCGCTGGGTGTGGCCGTTTTGGCCACACTCTGCTCCTGTAACGCCAAACTGGCCAGTGTTACATTCTCGGGAGACAAGCTCGTACCCCAGGACGGTGTCGTCGAGAACTGGGTCGCCAGGGCGAACTTCACCCGGAAATATTTCGAGACTGGGTTAGTATGCTGTTGTCATCGAATTTTCAATATAGTACAAGTCAGACAACTTTTCTTATGCGCATCAGAATCTACGTAATGCAGATTTGGTTTATATCTAGAACGGTGTTATGTTTCATTGAAGCACCACCACATTCCCTAATCCAAGTTTTATTTTCAGCTGGGATTTCCTGGAGGTGGAGACCAATGGCGACTATCCCGACAACGACCAGGCCTATGCCGCCGGCCTGGTGGAGGCCTACCTCACCAAGGATTTCATTGTCATGCACTGGAACGTAAGTACAGGATGGTGCGCGCACTTGCCCGTTTCATCTTATATTGTTGGTCATTGATCCTCTTAGCTGCTCTTTCCATTGCTAAATGAATATTGTGCGCGTTACAGGGCAAAGGAAAAAATGTTTTTTTCACGCTCGCCTGTCAAGAAGCTTTGATGCATCAACCATCATGTTTTCGCAAATCAATTTTACGTTACCTTTTGAGACGTCCTTACTGCATTGTGTGTGCTGCCATTGACGAACTATCGTTGCAGCAACATAACCCTCATTTCGTGCGGCCAGAACACGGTATCGGGTTACTGCCGGAGGCTCGGAAAGGAGATGTGTGACCGGCTCACGAGCCACGTGGACGCCAACGAGCGATGGGTGATGTCGATGGTCGAACAGAACGGCGCCAGCGATCCCTACTGGCATCAGGTAACTGAAATAGGAGTCATGCTTATAACGTCAGCTTTGTCTTTATCACTTCTTTTGAGCGGCTAGAGTCGTGGGCAGGAATGGTCGCTGGGATGGAGGTCTGAATAATGCTCCCATGGTATTTAATTCTTTACTGCCTCCTTCTGTACTCTCCACTATATTGAACTGAAACTATGCCTATTAATCCCTTAGTTAGGTTTTTACTTTTTACAGTACTTTATGTAACCCAAGTTGCATTCGTCTCGTTGTCGGACACAAAGACACAGGCAACAGTAATTAGATTTGCATCATCAATCACATTGCATGAAACGTCAGTGTGTTCACTCTGCATTTTAGGTGGGTCTGGTGTATCAACAAATGTATGGAATAGTGGACTACGTGGAGGTGACCCCCAACTATGAGGACGATCCCGGTGTGAAGTAAGTTCTGATTTTCGCTCAATTCATGCATGTGGCTATTCATTCGTGTTTTTGAAAGATTTATCCTATCTAGCTTGCCGTTAAAGCCAGGGCTCGACATTTGACATGAGCTGTCATCAAATAGGTGCTGAAGCCAGTTCTAAGCAAACCAATTTTAATCGAATTTCATATTTCCATGTCATATAACTCCTTGTATTTCATAACATTGGTTGTCTTTCAGGTGGCTCAGCCTTTGGGGTGATCTGGAGGACCTCGAGATCGCTCTGGAGGACCACGAGAAGAGACCGAAGCACGTGAAGGCCAGCCTGGGGAGCCGGGTGCTGGGCTCCGGTCACTGTTCCGCGCTGGTTAAGGTGCTGCCTGGTGCAGAGGACCTCTACACGTCTCATGTAACTTGGACCAGGTCAGTATCTGCATAATTTCGCCATCGATTTGTTCACAATTCCACTTGAACGTACTCTGTTGATAAATGTTGCGCACAGATCTTCTTTTCTTTCTCCATCTTTTATGCACTATAAATGAATAGCTGGTCAGCTGGTGGAGCTATATGACATTTTTCGTTATTTGAAAGTCATGCTACCACGTCAAAGGTTCTGTTATCGGCTCCTTGCGGGAGCGGCCACCAGGGAGTCGTCTGAAGCGCCTTTCTTCTGCCGTTGGACGCCGTTTTGTGCGTGTGTACCGACCACCTGTGACGGTGGCGTCAGATGGGAGTACGCAGATGGCTGCCGCTGCCCGTCGCCTCCTGCTGAGTTTGTCCGAGGGCTGATACGAGTCAAACACACAATACACGTGTACCTGGTCTGCATCGCTCCGTCACACAATATGTAACATTTAGCTTTTTATATCAAATGCGGTCGCGGATGTATAAGCGGTCGTATAATGTATTTATTTCTCGTAGTTAGTCCCGGTTACATTCATGTATCGACATAACAGGATATTGAGGCTAAATTGTCATTTGTGTTGAGGCCTATAATTGTTTGTTCCTAATGCATATGTTTTGGAATGTCGAGCAAGTCCAGTTATTTGGATATTGTGAATGTAATTGTTTTTCTTGCGATCGAGCACATCACACTGGTAGTCATGCGTTCATGATGCGTACACCAGACGTCTCTCAATATAATTCCTGACCTTCCTGCACTGCAGTTTCCAGACGATGCTGAGGATTCAGAAGAGGTACATTCTGAACTACGGACAAACAGAGGGAGCGGACAAAGTAGCCATTCCGGGTCGGATCGCCACGTTCTCCTCCTACCCGGGCATCATCGCCTCACATGTCAGTGGCGCACATCTGCTGAAACGTGCTCACTAAGTATTGAGCAATCGAATAAATCCATAACCTTTGACACAAACTTCTCTATATAAAACTGAGATATTTGTTCCTTTGACTGTATACAAGACATGATATTACGAAACCTAGATGCTTATATTTGCTTTAATAGTGCATAGTATTTCGCCCGAAACCTCCGAATGTGACGGGAGTCGGGAATGTTTCATGTGTAACGTTACTGCCACACAGAGCGGTGCATTTTGTCATGCATCCCCATTTGTATTTTGCAAAAAAAAAAATCGTTGATTAATTGTTGACCAATGTCGCTTATATCCATCGTTGCAGGATGATTTCGCCGTGCTTTCGTCTGGTCTTGTGTCTCAAGAGACAACCATTGGCAACAACAACAATGATCTTTGGCAATATGTCCAGCCGGAGGGCCAGGTCAGTGATACTTTCCTGAGACACGCGTGAACATTTGACCGAGCAGCTACTGTGCTGACTGCTGACTGCTGACTGCTGAGTGCTGAGGTCATGAAACGGCATGTTTATCGCGCCGCCTAGTTTTGAACGCCGTAATTTGGCATTCGACGCCTCAACTTAACGCGCAACGCGACTTCTCACACTTGCTTCACGTGTTTGATATGTTTCATTACCAAGAAAGAGTATGGCATCTCAGTGGCTTTTGCACTCTATTCCAGGTCATGGAATGGGTTCGTGTTTTGGTGGCCAATAACCTGGCAACCAGCGGCGAGGAGTGGACGGACGTGTTTGGCCGCCACAACAGCGGCACCTACAACAACCAGTGGATGGTGGTCGACTACAAGCGCTTCAAGAGCGGCGACATGGCGCTGCGGCCGGGCCTGCTCTGGATCCTGGAGCAGATTCCCGGCACCGTGATGGCCGAGGACGTGACTGGCGTGTTGCAGAGCCAGCAGTACTGGCCCAGCTACAACTCGCCCTACTTCCCAGAGATCTTCAACATGTCCGGAAACCCCGAGCTGGTGGACGAGTACGGCGACTGGTTCAGCTACGACATGACGCCTCGCGCGCGCATCTTCCGCAGAGACCAGGACGGCGTCACCGATGTGGGCTCCATGATGAAACTGATGCGCTACAACGACTACAAGAACGACCCGCTTTCGGCGTGCGACTGTGAGCCGCCTTATTCTGCCGAGAACGCCATCTCGGCTCGGTGCGACCTGAATCCGGCCAACGGGACTTACCCGTTCAGCGCCCTCAGCCATCGCCTTCACGGGGCAACCGACATGAAGCTCACCACCACCAAATTGGTAATTAGAGGCTTAGGCGCCATACTGTGGCTGATAATGCTAACCCTTATGATGTCTCGTTTTCCGTTCTGTGTGTTATGTTGGTGTATGCGTAGTTTTTGCTTGAAGATAGCTGCTCTCTTTTAAAAGATGATGCACTCCAGGAAGTTTTTACATGGTTCTTTGAACACCATTGAACCGAAGTGTTGTTGTCACTTTGTTCGATGCAATTTTCCCCCGGGAATTTCTCCCTCTATTCACATTTTCTTTGAACCCCCAGATGCCTCTGATGGAGTTTATCGGAATCTCTGGGCCGACGTACGACCAGCAGCCTCCCTTCCAGTGGAGTCTGCTGGAGGCGGCCGACAACCTGGCGCACTGGGGACACCCGGACGTCTTCCAGTTCGGCCCCATCCAGTGGAACTTCCAGTGGCAGTAGCTAAAGCAGTTACCACCCCTGCTTCTCTATGTTATTCAGTGAAGAAGAGCTCATGGAAAATACATATGACGTTCTTGTGATCCCGGCTTCTTTCGATCAGGGGTGGAGAGATTTTGGATTATGTTGAAGGAGGGCTTTGTCACGCGGTACGTAACGTATATAATCCGGACCTCGTGCGAGCAGCTAAAAACCGATGATTTCGAACAACTGCATCAGTTCATGTCAAAAAATGCTGCCATGACACGTCACCCCGATAAGGTGAAGCAGTAGGAACTCTAGCCACTGTTGCCCTAGCTGCTTGTGATCAGGCGCCCTCAGTCGTATGTACGGGGTATCGGCGGCGATGGGGGCCTGCGGGCGCCTCTGGTCTGTTTACAGGCCAGTAGTGTCGGGGTATCAGTCGATAGGTGCCTGCGTACGCCCCTGCTCTCTGTTTACACCAGCTACCCGGCCGTGAACGGCTCTGGGTGCGGGATGAGGTTCATTGTCCGTCCGACGGGCCTCAGCCGTGGCCGTGGGAGTGCTGGAGCGCACACAAAGACTCGGTGAGTTGGAGGGGAAGGGAGGGGAAGTGTGCGCTAGTCACCCTGCTAGTGTCTAAGGGGCGAGGGCCTCTGTGTCTATCTGTGTCTTTTCTCTTTGTCTGACTTCTCTGTCTCTTTGCCTCTGTCTCTGTCTTTGTCTGTGTCTTATGTGTCTGTCTCTGTTCCTCCGTGTCTTGTCTCGTTGTCTGGTGCCTCTGTCTCTGTTCTTCTTACCCTGTGTCTGGTGTCTCTGTCTCAGTGCCTCTGTCTCTTGACTCTGTGTGATGCCTCAGTCGGTGTGCCTAAGTGTCTGGTGCCTCTTTCTCAGTGTCTGATGCCTCCGTCTCTGTGCCGCTCGTCTATGCCTGGTTTCGCTGCCTCAGTGTCTGATGTCTCAGTGCCTCTGTGTGCACGGCCCGTCACCGGTCATCTGTGTGTCCCGTGAACGGGCCGCCGGCCACTTTTCCGGCCGTTTTTCTGTCGGACAGGCGTCCGGAGCCACCTGCGTGTTCCCACCGCGTCGTCTGCAGATAACTCTGTTTGGCTGCCGTATCGCAGTGTCTTTATACTGCGGTTTTGAACATTGTTCGCCAGTGAGGTGCCCCGGGGCCGGCAGGCGACATTTGATACCGATCCCTGTGTAATTGGAGAGAGCTGAGCTCGTGGAAAGGTACTGACCAGTGGATATGTTTGATTCGCTATTTGTGTGGGTGTGTTGTTTGATTCGTTGTTTATGTGGAGGTAGCTACAAGAAAGTATTCATGTTCAGCAGCGAGATGGGTGATTATTTGCGCAGTGAAATCTTTGCCTACTTGGCTTTGTATGCGTCTCATCAATCATCCGCACAATCCAGTAATGAGCATTGAGCGTACCTATGAGGTAACATAGGTAGGTAGGTACTACCTACCTATGTATGTCCTATCTGTATCTGTGATGCTTTATTTCAGCTACAATATGTCCAGACGCCTGTCGTTGTTGTGTTTTGCTTTTCATTCATTACGGAAATGCATGACGCTTGACTAACCAGAGATATGTCATTTCAGCATCCCACGATGAAGTTGCTCGCGCTGAGCGTGGCCCTGGCGGCCTCGCTGTGCACCTGTGACGCCTCTCTGGCCAGTGTGACCTACACGGAGGACCATAAGTTCCACGTGCAGGACGGAGTTGCCGAGAACTGGGTGGCAAAGGCCAACTTGACGCGCAAATACTACCAAACTGGGTACGTAACCGTATAGATAAGGTAGATTCATATTTCCATTGCCACCATTCTGGGAGAGCTAGAATTGGCATATCGTGTTTATTTTACTTTCCTAATGTTACACAATATCGCTGATGCTATTACAAAGCTGACAGCCTTTTTTGATCATGGATGATCAAAAGGCGAAGGTGTCGCGTGGCGCACTTTGACATAGCAAACGCGTTAATGGCTCGCTCCTCGGTTGGGTACTTTGATGAAGCTATCGAGCTACTTCTTTTGCCTTTGTCAAGCGATATTAGGACTTTTAGAATATTTCTTTTAGTTAGTCATATGCACATTAAAAGATATGACCATTAGGCCTGTCGTGTTTTGTTTTATCTTTTGTCTCGGACATTTTAAAGAGTGAATTAAATTGGTGTGCTTCACCGTACTGAGATACGTTGTTCTTTATCGATATTTTCAGCTGGGATTTCCTTGAGGTGGAGACCAATGGCGACTATCCCGACAAGGACCAGGCCTATGCCGCCGGCCTGGTGGAGGCCTATCTCACCAAGGATCTCGTTGTTATGCACTGGAACGTAGGTACTAGTTAGGATCAGGGCTGCGGAGTCGATGGATTTTCGGCGACTCCGACTCCGACTCCGACTCCGGCTTTCAAAAACCAGCTCCGACTCCGACTCCGACTCCGGGCAGAATTGTCGACTCCGACCGACTCCAACTCCCGACTCCGACTCCGCAGACCTAGCAGGGCTGCGGAGTCGACAGATTTTCGGTGACTCCGACTCCGACTCCGGCTCGGGTTTCTAAAATCGACTCCGACTCCGACTCCGACTCCGGTCACAACTGTCGACTCCGACCGACTCCGACTCCGACTCCGACTCCGACTCCGCAGCCCTGGTTAGGATTATATCGAGCGAATAAGCTGTTACCCGTTATAATTCGTTTTAACTATAGGTTGATTTTCCTTTATTCTTTTTCAGGCCATAGTGTGACCTTTGCACGGGCAAGACATCTGGCTTTTCTATTCGTTTATCGCTGGCTTAACTTAGTTACATATTTTGTTTCAGAACACCGTTTCGGGCTACTGCCAGTGGCAGGGCCAGGAGATGTGTGACAAGCTGAACGACTATGTGGCCACTAACGAGCAGTGGGTCAACTCGATGGTGGAGCAGAACGCCGCCAGCGACCCCTACTGGCACCAGGTGGGTGCGACGGCGCCACAGGGACTGCCTCCGCTCAGCCGAGCTTTGGATCGGTGGCCTCGTGCCCCGAATGAAATGTGTCAACACGGATCGTGGGATGTAACTTTTTTTTTGCTAATTATTCGTGACCTGTGTGCCAGCAATTCGTTATTTGGTGATTCCACCTTGCTCTACGTCACTAGTTCTCTAAGCGATATTTTAAAACATTTGACTGAGACCTGAGTCAGAGTTTGTACAAGCGATATCAATAACTCTCCTCGTATGATAGTGTAACGAACTTTCTGCTTCGCGAAGCCGGTCCACTATTCACCATTTGTGAGCACTGTAGCGATCACGCATCAAGCGGTGCTCACTCAGGTCTGAGCACTCAGATTATCTAGGTGGCCACTGTCCTGAAGGTGCATGGTCGTCACTGATCTGCCACGGTATCTCTCCGCTAACATTCAGACCGCGTCTGATGTGTGTCCACTGCTCGTCTCCTCCAGGTGGGTCTGGTGTACCAGCAGCTCAATGGACTGATTGACGGCGTGGACCTGACGCCCACCATCCCCGGAGACCCCGGAGTCAAGTCAGTTTACCACCAGAGCGGTAGCCACGCGCCGGACTCTCAAACTGGGACAGCTATAGCATTGCATAGCTGTTAAACTTATCTTGTTTTCCGCAGAAAATCGCGTTTTATGCATTATTTTCTATTAGACCTTGTTTTAATGAAATCGTCGTATAAAAGCACATCGTGCGTTGGTATACAAATTACGATTAACACGTTTACATGGCAAAGATACTACCCGTAGGTGGCTCCTGTTCACTGTATATTCCTTGTCCGGTAGGTGGCTCAACATTGCCGGTGACCTGGAGGACCTGGAGGTGGCGCTGACGACGCCCGCCAACAGACCCAAACACCTGAAGGCCTCGTGGGGCTCTCGGACGCTGGGCTCCGGTCACTGTTCGGCGCTGATCAAGGTGCTGCCGGGTGGAGAGGATCTCTACACGGCGCAGGTCACCTGGAGCAGGTTAGGACCGTGCTCGCCCGCCCCGACTGCTGATGTAGTGTGGTGGATGATCTCTGCCCAAAATGCGCGACTGACTAGAAGCAAACGTCAAATTGATTCTTATGTTGATAAATGGTATTTTCTGTGCAGTAAGCCGTTCCTATTGCGTTTCCGTTGTATTCGCTTCTGTCTGATTACGCTTTACTACTTAAACGTGTGTGTTGATGACGCTTCTGTTTTCTTCTCCAGTTTTCAGAGCATGATGCGTATCCAGAAGCGTTACGTGTTCAACTACGGACAGACTGACGGGCCGGACAAGGTGGCCATCCCGGGCCGTGTCTCCACCTTCTCCTCCTACCCCGGAATTCTCTCATCTCAGGTAAGCAAACTGCGCTCAAATATTCTTCATCGTATGAACGAATCACTGCTTCTTTTTTCCAAGCTGGCACTCTTCTTAGGTGTTTGCGTTGGTTGTGCGTAAAAGGTCGCTGTGACGTGTATGAATAATGTTAATCTGACATCCTCACCCGGTGCCCGGAGCGTTCTGGTTTGACTGTACTCTATCCTCCCCGCAGGACGACTTTTCGATTCTGTCATCTGGCCTGGTGACCCAGGAGACCACGATTGGCAACAGCAATAACGACCTGTGGAAGTTCGTCCAGCCGGAGGGCCAGGTCAGTTGATGGCTGTCAACCGGACCACGTCAATAGGAATGAAGTCATTCATTTACTTGAAATGCACTCATTCATTTCATTCATTCATTCCAAGCATCATTTCATTCATTCACTTTCTTCATTCATTTTGTTTCAATAATTCGTGCATTCTTTTACTTCTTTATTTCATTAATTTATTTTGTTCATTCATTCATTCATTCATTCATTCATTCATTCATTCATAAGTTAAAGTAATTCATGCACATGATTCATTCATTGATTGATTCATTGATTTCATTCATTGAGTAGTCGTTTTACATCAAGATCGCATCCGGGTGGCTACGAAATATGGAATACGTGTTCTTTTTCTTCTTATAACCAGTTGGCATGAAGCACTGAAGCAGCCAATATCTTTCAGCGTAAAATAAACGCCAGCTCTTGTTCGATGACCCCGTGACTGTGGAGATTCTCTGACGGCCTCCAACCGCCCAGGTACTGGAGTGGATCCGAGCCGTGGTGGCCAACAACCTGGCGACTAGCGGCGAGGAGTGGACGGACGTGTTTGGCCGCCACAACAGCGGCACCTACAACAACCAGTGGATGGTGGTCGACTACAAGCGCTTCAAGAGCGGCGACACGGCGCTGCGGCCGGGCCTGCTCTGGATCCTGGAGCAGATTCCCGGCACCGTGATGGCCGAGGACGTGACTGGCGTGCTGCAGAGCCAGCAGTACTGGCCCAGCTACAACTCGCCCTACTTCCCCGAGATCTTCAACATGTCCGGAAACCCCGAGCTGGTGGACGAGTACGGCGACTGGTTCAGCTACGACATGACGCCTCGCGCGCGCATCTTCCGCAGAGACCAGGACGGCGTCACCGACGTGGGCTCCATGATGAAACTGATGCGATACAACGACTACAAGAACGACCCGCTGTCAGCGTGCGACTGTGAGCCGCCCTACTCGGGAGAGAACGCCATCTCTGCTCGGTGCGACCTGAACCCGGCCAATGGCACCTACCCGTTCAGCGCTCTGGGGCACCGCGACCACGGCGGCACCGACATGAAACTCACCACCACCAAACTGGTGAGTTATGTCATCCCTTCTATGGCTGTGTGATTCGTCATAGAGCAGCATCCAGATGATGCATGGCCATGCCTTGGGCTGATTCCCCTGCCGAGTTTCTGCCGCTATCATGTGTGGCATATCACATAGTGTCTCGTGCGACATCTTTCATTATATCGTGGGGATATGTATAATGTAATGAGTGGACAGGTAAACCCGGTAAACCAGCGGCTGGTCACGGACGATCTCGTAGGATTACCGACGTATTGGTATAGAAATATTGATAGCCGTAGAGGCTGCCGTGCTATGAAAAGGGAGTGAGGTGCACCTCAACAATAAGCCATTTCGCACAACGCCTTGAGAAAGCAGCAGCCAGCTAAGCTTTCCCAAGCTTAGGTACGACTATCATTTGTCAATCGTGTGATCAACGCCACTGTGTATATTCAGTTCATGATATTCTGTTTTGTGTCGTCCTCAGATGCCTGTGATGGAGTTTATCTCGATCGCCGGCCCGACGTACGACCAGCAGCCGCCGTTCCAGTGGAGCAAGGCCGACTTTGTGGACACGACACCGCACTGGGGCCACCCAGACTTGTTCCAGTTCGACCCGATCCAGTGGGACTTCCAGTGGCAGTAGGTGCCGCTGTGGCTGCCCGCCCAGGCGGCGCTGGTGGGAAGGGAGCCCGCTGTGTCGACCCGAGTGGTAACTCCGTGGTGGCCATCAATGGACGCGCTGCTACCGCGTGGTAATGTAAACTTTTTATCCATAAATGCTCGTCGGCTCCAATAAAATATGTACAACAAATCTTTCCTTTCATTTCTGTTTCTCTTCTATCTATTCTTATCACCATCGGCACCTGTTATTTCTGGCATAACCCTTTCTATTACATCTGTCAAAATTCAGTGCGACACATGTCTTGTATTAGATCGTTCGAAGTCGTTTACATCACAATCGCTCGTTTGTCAAAGTATTACATCAGCGGCGAACATGTCACATTACAGTGAGACATTTCAGTTGAGTAGCGTTTTGAAGTCGTTTTCGATGGCGTGCCAGGGGTCGTAGTTGAGCAGCACGTCTGTGCTGTCGATGTCCTCGGCGGCCTGTCGGTGGGAGCAGACGGCCGGCGGGGCCGCCGCCACGGGACTGGAGGTGCGCGGCCCGTCCTCCGCCCCGGACTCGGACCGCGGGGTGTCGGCGTGCCTCGGCGGCGGGCTGACCAGGGGTCGGTACGGCCGGTCCTCGCTGTGCAGCTCCAGCAGCTGCGGGCTGGCCCACGAGCGGCCCGAGCTGGGCACCGAGTCGCCGCCGCTCGGCAGGGGTAGCTGGGTGACGGGCGCCGGACTGCGCGGCCGCTCCCAGCCGCGTCCCGGGCCGGCCTGCTCGGCGGCGAGCCGCCGGATACGGGCGCTGAGCTCGCTGTCGGAACACTGCCGCAGGGTGCAGGGGCGCACACCGTCGCCGTGCGAGAGGCCGCCGTCGCTGCGTGTCGTGCCCCCGCCGCCGGTCGGTGCCTGGTCCGTGTACCGCCAGCTGTCACCGCCCAGGTGCCGCCGGGGCGGAGACCTAACCTCTCCGCCCGGCCGTTTGGAGGGCAGCTCCGGCCGCGGGCTGGACGCGTCTCCCAGCTCCATTCGCTGAGTGATGCGATCGTTCAGCTCGGCTCGGCGGAAGAACTCGGACATCTGTCTGAGGAGCCGGTTTGACTCGGTCAGGGTGTCCAGGATGCATCGGGACGTGTCTCGAGGCCGTGGTGACGGAGACAGAGACCTGACGACGGGTGGGGGAGGCGGCAGGCGGCGCGGGGACAGCACAGATAGCTCCGTCTGAGCGGCTGCATCGGCGGCGGTAGGTGGCTCAATTTGAACTGCGGGCTTTTTGAGAACCTGTCCCTCTCCGCAACCACTGTTACTCCCATTTATTTCGGAAGTCAGCCGAGGACTAGTCTGACACGACCTGTTCCTATTCCTGCTGTGGTTTTCCTTCTGCTTCTCAGAGCCGCCGCCGCCGGTCGCCGGTCGCGGGCCAAACATCTCCTCCAGTACCCTGCGCACTAGCTCGGCTGTGGCTGCGTCCCCCGCTGTCCGTCGCACCGACTCTAGAGAACTGGCGCTGGAGGAGGTGCCTCGGCGCGCCGACCGGCGCCGCTGCCGCGGCCGCCGCCGGGACGGTGAGCGCGCCCGGTGCACCTGGCGCAGCTCGGCGCCGTCCAGCACAAACTCGTCTGTGGATCCCTCGGCCGGGTCTTCGGAGTGATCTTCCTGCCGCCGGCCGGGCGAGGTGCGGTTCGGGTTAGCTGTGACGTTGATGCGGATTTTGCGGCGCACCGGCGGCGGGAGGACCTCGATTACCCGAGGTGGGGGTTCCTGCTGTCGGCAGCACTTCTCGACGATCTCGGGCAGTTTGGAGAGCAGCCACTGATTGTAGTCGGTGTTGTCGCCGTCGGGCAGGTCGATTTTCAGCGCTTCCGACACCTGATGATCGCGCTCGTCTCCGTGCGACGGTGGGCGCGGAACGCCGGGGGCCGGACCAACAGTCAGACTGCGGCCGGGCAGGATGAACCCACCGCCATTCTGCGACAGCGAGCTGGCCTCAGCCGGTCGCCGGCCGCGCCGCCGCGGCCGCTTGTTCGATTCCAACCCGGCGCCCGGGGTCTTCACGGGCGCGGGGATGGACTGCGGGAGAGGGCCGGTCATCTCGAGGGTTCGCACGGCGTAGTCGCACCGGTAGGTAGTCAGGTAGGCCTCGAAGTCCGATAGGGCCTCCGTCATACGCTGCTGCTCGCTGGGGTAGATGGCGGAAGGTCGGACGACATCGCTGAGGAGGGCCAGATCGGCGGCGCAGTTCTGCTACGCACTGGGTGGCGTGATCGTTAACTCAATTGAATGATGGATAGGTCTGGAGCGTCCTAGCTCAAGGTTAGACTATTGGAGGTAATTTTTGGAGATGTTACTATGTTGCGCTAGAGTCGCTCTTGGCAATGTGGACAGCACCCAAACCATTGCAGTAGCAATGAGTCGTGCTCAATGTATTGTGCGTGCTGAGGCCTCTTGCACCAAACTACCTACCTAGGTAAATTCAGATTTTACCTAGATTCTCTTGCACCAAACTACCTACCAAAAAACGCTACCGTGAAAATTTACCTAGAAACTCTACCGAGCGGCATAAGAACTTACCAATTGTTAAAGTCTGACCGGCTGTTTTCCTCTTGCACCGAAAGCCGGAAAGAAGTACTCGCGGAGGAATTTTTGACGATTTGACGGTAAACGCGGGCTTCAAAAATAACTAGCAAAACCTTAGGTAAAATGATTCAATTAGAAACAATAGGCACAATACATGATAATCCACGGGTACTTTTATGTAAATTAGTCATTACAAAATGTTTAGACAATGATATATCAATGTTTTATGAGTGAATAATAATATAATTGACCAAATGCTCCATGGGTTCACAGAGGTGCTTCTCCGTACCAAGGCGATAAACCTCCGTAGCAGAACAGCCAGGTTGAAGACTCACTCGTTGCCATGGAAACGAAGCTTATTTGTTCAAGTAATTTAATATCAAAATAACTTCTATTGGTATTTACGTAAATGAAAAATGATTTCATAATACCAAAATGTATATTAATGAAAATAATATCCATTTAATTGTTTTCTTTACTTACTATTTGTTTGCGCCCACAAATAATTCGTCGCCAAACAGCCAATCAAAACAAATCCTAAAAACGCGAGCTGTCAAATTTACCTAGGTAGGTAGGTAGGATGGTGCAAGAGAAGTTACCGCCGTAGGTAGTTTTACTAGGTAGGTAATTTGCCGATTCTACCTAGCGAGGTATTTTGGTGCAAGAGGCCTCTGTTCGTCCGCGGACTTCGCTCATTGCTGGCGCACTCAAGGCCGTATAAGTTAGGTAAGATCGTCCGGGCTCGCTAATGTTACAAATCTGCAACACTACGGTGACGTCACCGGCGCATACGCTCCCTGGCTCCATCCTGACCCTGATGCGGCGGCTGGAATCGCTGCTAATCGAAAAATTACTTGTGCAATAGCGCTTTTAAATGACTTTAAAAAGGGGGAAAATATGATAACAAAATAATTATAAGAATCCCCTGTCCCGACTTGGATCGTACGACCCCGCCACCTAGCGGACAACGCCGTAATTAGGGTTGAGTTGGCGATCTCCAGGTGGCTCGTCACTCGTCAGCTGTCAGCCGCAGGCAGGCGAGGGCCGGCAGGCGCTTAAGTTATGTTAACGCCAGGTCATGCTCAGGAAAATGCGACATGCTTCATAACGGTCATTTATCTCGAAAAAGATGCGGTGCCCTGTGGTGCTATGGCCCACATGACTCGGGACCCGTGAGGCCCCTGTAGTCACCAGCAGCTCCCAAGGCTGCTACGGACGCGATACCGCAGATACGTACTCCGAAAATTGCTAGACAAAGGACTGCGATGGAGCCTGGAGGAATGCATTGCAAGGACTATGTTTTGGTTTATGTTCCTGTGCGTAATCGCGGGGCTATCGGTGTTAGGGTCCCGGGGGCCAAAGCCATGCGGGCAACTGGGGTGTATCTGGATGGTGAATGGTGATGATATCGTGTTTTTGTTCGGCCACATGGGCACAATAACGAAAGCATTGATTCACTCCGTCCGAAAGCCTAGGTACCGAACCAATTAAGAACCACCAACAGATGTATTCCATGACAGGAAACAAAACGACCCCAACACTGCTCGCGCATGTCTATCCAATATCCATCCAGTGAGGGAGCACATGTGGTCCGTGTCCCCGCACACACGGGCACACAGACGATGGGTAACGCAACCACGAGTCGGCACAACGCAATCACGAATGGTTAACGCAACCACGAGTCGGCACAACGCAATCACGAATGGTTAACGCAACCACGAATGGTTAACGCAACCACGAGTCGGCACAACGCAATCACGAATGGTTAACGCAACCACGAATGGATAACGCAACCACGAGTCGGCACAACGCAATCACGAATGGTTAACGCAACCACGAGTCGGCACAAGATGAATGAGCAAAAGCGACTGTCAACCACGCAACCACGAATCCGCACAAAATGAATGAACCAAAATTACTGTTCAACAGGGGTCAGCACTGCGCGCGTCCAGAGAGGCCAAGCCGGCAGCTCGCGTGATCACGCCCTGGGTCCGCGCCCTCAGCCGGGGTAGGCTCACCGTGCCATCGCCGAACTGGATGACCATCGTGGAAGAGTTCGAGGTCATCTTCCGGTTGATGATGGGTGCTACCGTCGACGGTCAGTCCGGTATCGTGCAGAGGCTGCTGGCGGCACTCCAGGTAAAGCGTCCATCTCTGGACGCCAGGATCGCGAGGAAGCTGGTGACGACGCGGGTCCACCTTCGGATCCGCTCACTAAACCAGCGCCAGGACGAAGTCGTAAGCACAAGTGATCCGCTCCTCGCGTAGGCCGGCCTGGCTCCCAGTGATGGTGCGCCGGGAGCTGCTCGCTGCCCGGCTGAACTGTCTGACAGCCTCAGAAGACAGAAAGTGACGGCGCTCTCCACACTGGCGAGTGATGCCGGGGTAAAGATGTCGGCACTGGACGCCGCCGGCAGACGCAGTGCGTTCTCCATCTGATTCAGCTGCTTCCTGCCGATTTACCTGAAACAAAGTCAAGTGAAATCAATGATCCTTCTTACCTAAGTGGTGGCCTGAGCTCTGCAATACGTGGACGTATCAATGGCCACAAAATCTATCTAATTAAGGTGCTGTTTAAATAAAGATAGAATTAATAGTGAATAGTGATTGTTGAAATGGCGACGGTCGGTGAGCTTAAACTAATGTAAAGTGGGAAACCCCAAAATTTAGTGTGTACAATATCTTAGCGCGAGCACCACTGAACATTAAGTCAGCTCGCGCAATTTGATAGCCGCGTGCTGCTATCACCGGTGAAACAGGGCCCAGGTTTAGAGCCTTGCCCACAGTTTCCACTCAAGTGATTCAGAGGTAAGCTTAGTCTGAGTCTGATTGCAACATCATTCTCAAAGCTAGCATCTGAGTGTATTCAGTCTCTATCAAAACTACTGATTGCTGGAACCCTTGGCCCTGTTTCACCGGTGATAGCAGCACGCTACCTACTATCAAATTGCACGTGCTGACGTAATGTGATGAGGTCACACTAATGACGTTTCGTGCAATCTGTGAGCTTCGTTTGGACCAGAGTTGCTGTCTCGTTGAATTGCGTTTGATACATTTGTTTGATCGCATGGCCGTGAAGATGCTAGCAGCAATATTTGATGACATCACACAGATTGACTGAGTCATGCTTTGTTGATGTTTCCATGGAAACCCAATTTGACACGTGTAATAGCAGCGTGCTGCTATCACTGGTGAAACAGGGCCCTTGTATTGACAGTTCAAGCACCTAACAAAGAAAATATCAAATTCAATTATCTCCTCACCTTGATCTATCACTCAGAGATGAGGACACTCCCTCAGTGTTGATGATGTCCTGCGCAAGGGACTTCATCTGTCGGCGATCACTCCTTGAAGCCCGAGTGCTTTGTTGCGCCGGTCTGTGAAAACACCATTTACATCAACATTCAAATAGGGCACAACTTCAGTGAGCTGCTTTGAGCATTGGTGACTGATGCACAGATTATATTTGATATGCAAAATGTTTCAAGTATCATGCAAATATGTCGGTAGCGGTACCTAACTTGGTACCTACCTGCTTACTAGCAACCTAATTTACAAATTAATGTGTCATGGTACATATCTGACAAGCGCACACAGTCACAGTGCAAATCCAAAAGCAAATATAAATTTGTTACAATTTCCATCACAATAAGAAAGATTCGAATTAGTACATTACCAACTGAATAGTTGGCATTCATATCAAATCCATTAAAATGAAATACATACCCCGAAGACCCAGCACTGCGCAGATTCTGTGTTGGAACCGCATCAGTCTTCAGACATGGGCTCACACCTGGCATCAGGGATGCTTTCACAAGGTAGGAAGGATCATAATCTGAATCAAGAAAGTGGTCTGAGCAAGTCCTTGCCTGCAACACATTTATAGGATCCTGCCTCGAACATCTATGCACCCAGGTCGCACATGTGGCTGGATCCTTCGGGAACCGAAAAAAACGATTTTGTGCAGAACTTGCCAGTCCTTCGGTAACTTCGGCATGTAGCCACCGCACAGTACGACATCCTGAATCAAGTCCTGAATCATTCAATCAATTTAAGTTTCAATGGTTTCAAACAATCAACTCGAGGGTACAACCAAGGTACAACACAAGCAAGAAACAGGAAATGAACTTGTTTACAACCGTGAGTCCGTGACCCTCAAAATCGAATTCAAGGCCAAATTTGCGGGGAAGGCCAGCTGAGAAGTGTCCGGTCCGCTGACGTCACGGGTAATGTTAAAGATCCGGGTGCCCGGCAAATAGGAAAGCTCGGGATGACAGCCCCCTGGGCGCACTGCGGCGCGAAGCCGCTTTTGCTGCGGCTATTTCTGTCGCGTCACGTGACTGGGTGTCTGGCGCTCCGCCAGCCGTGGTTTCTGCAGTACGCTGGCGGCGATCGATTTTCTAATCAGTGGTGCTCAGCCGGCTTCCCGACGGCGCTCTCGACGAATGGGCGCCGCCGTCGCAGCCGCGCCACCCTCGTCTTAGCGTGACGTACACAGACACGTCGGCCGTCTCACGTGAGGTAGCTCCGCCCTCACCACGCGACCCCACGCGACCGCTGACGGCAGAACTTGGCTTCACACGAAATGCTGCAGTGATTCCCAGAAACGACGCAGAACTTCCTGGCATGCTTCAGTCATAGACACGATCATTTCAGTTTCCGATTAATCGATGTATGAAAAGGTTATCTGTTTTGCAACATTTCTGCATGAGCTGCTGGTCTGGTTTTCAGCTCCGTGAAATTGTATTTTGCAGGGAAGACCTGCTCCGATTATTGGAGCTTAATCTTTTTCCTATTCATTCACGTGTTGCGTCTCACGCGTGGTGCGCGGTCGGGCGTCCTCGTCGGACTGCTCTTGCAGTCTCCGCTGTATCCGACACTAACGGCTGAGCTGCTAAGTGCAGCCTGGGCTGACCCCCTGCAGCCGAGCGGTGCCGTCTATTGTTGGTGTGTCTGTGAAGCCCTGCACGATCAGCTCTGACCCTGACCTGCTGTGACCTTGGGGAGGCCCCTCCAGGGCTGACCGTGAGACTCCGGTGTGGTACGGCTCTGGGCCGAGACGTAGACATGACTGCTTCGTAAAAGCTAACAAGATTCATCGTAACTGATTTGTTCGCTTGTTATTTGTGACTTATTGCCTTATCGTGGTTTTGAAATACTTTCGAATCATTTCACATTTCTTGCTTCTACCACAGCACCTGCACTCATTATCGATTTCTGTTGATTCCAATCATGTGTCCAGCCTCCTAAAGGCTTATATGGTATATATATTAGATCTCTTAATCTACCATATTCTCTAAAGGACATGATGTGGAGTTTGCTAATGTAATAATTGAATGAGGACTTTACTCCACAGGAAATCGTTCGGGTCGGAGCTTTCGAATTGTATTACAAAGCTTCGTCAGCGTATCGTAATCGGGTTCGGGGGTATCGGTCGCAAAATTGAGGGCGATTCGTCTTTGGCAGACAAGGACATGTCACAGATAGTAAAATAGATAAATAGCACGTGACATTCTATGATAAAACATTTAACATATATGAAAAAGAAGAAAATATCTCATAAGCGATATACATTCTAATTATATCTAAATCTGTTAAATAACAAAGGTTATATAGAGTGATAAATAGTAATAAAGACCTACCTAGGATATATAGCAAGTGATATAAACATGTATGCAACATCAATAGGTAATAGGCTAACAAAGGTACCAGGTATATAAGATACACTATAAACGACCAAGAAAATCATTCAATAGGTAAAGAGTAAAAATGATAGCAATGATCAAAAACACTCCATCAATAGGCTAGAACATTCACAACTAATAACATTAATAAAAGGAGGATATAAAGTTCACGAGAAAAGTGGCCATATGCAACAACCAGTGGGGGGGGGGGGGGGCGTGAAATATATAAAAAAGACAAGTCAAAATCGTACAATCTTTTAGCGGCAGGCACTGCGGATAATGGGTAGCCAGCGATCTTGTAGCATAGCACCTGAATTCCTGTTCAAATTGGCATCATTTGGTGACACTAACACAGTCTCCCGTCGTCCTACGAGTACCAGTTATCATGAAAGTTGTTGAACGAGTCATCCAGCAGCAGCTACAACACTATCTCTCTCAAAATCACCTTTTGGCATCTAGTCAGCATGGCTTCCGACCCCTACACTCAACTGAAACAGCACTTTTGTCCGTCACCGACCGCATCCTAGCTGCCACGGACAGGGGAGATGTATCTTTCCTATGCCTTATCGATCTCAGCAAATGTTTCGATGTCATAGATCATAAACTCCTTCTCGACAAACTCGCACTGTACGGCATCGAAACTCCTTGGTTTAAAGCATATCTAAAAGGTCACACACAAAGCGTTTCAATGACCGATGGACTCCAGCGCAGGGTACTGTCACGACCACTCCCTAACACTATGGGCGTGTTTCAAGGCTCGGCCCTGGGTCCTCTTTTATTCACGATTTTCTCAAACGATTTGGCGCTTCACGCCGATGACGCATGCGTTTTCCAATATGCAGATGATACCCAGCTTCTAGTGAGTGGCCCAAAAAACAATGTAAGTGGCCTTATCTCGCGCATGGAGGCCTCACTAGAAGCACTGAACAAATGGTTCCACTCAAACGCCCTGAAGGTCAACGCGAGCAAAACGCAACTCATGATATTCGGCAGCAGTCAAAATCTAAAACACTTGCCCCCAGTCGTCGTATCGTTTCGTGACACGGAGCTGGAACCATGTGCGCAGGCAGGAAACCTCGGCGTGGTGTTTGACAGCTGTCTGACCTGGGAAGCCCATGTATCTGAGCTCAGCCGGAGGTGTATGGGTCTGCTCATTGGCCTCTCCCATGTGCGGCACTGTCTTCCCGATGGGGTCATCAAAACCATTGTCACATCTCTAGTCATCTCCCGAGTAAATAACTGCCTATCAGTTTACGGAAATGGTACAAAAAAGAACCTGAATCGACTCCAAAAGATCTTGAACTTCGCTACTCGAGTTATTTTTGGCCGCCGCAAATTCGACCACGTCACTGACCTGCGCGAGAAACTCAACTGGATGCCGCCCGAATTTATGTACAAACTTCAAACCATGGCCACTGCACGTAAGGCGATACACTACGGCGAACCGGTAGCACTTGCCTCTATGTTTGCCAAAAACCGGGACTCCTCAACCAGGAATAGAAATACACGTCAGGATAACCTTCTCCAGCTCCAGCGTCCCAGACTAGAAACCGGTAAGCGGCGTTTCAGTTACCGTGCCGCCGAGCTCCTAAACGACCTACCTCCCGACATCTCACAGCTGCCACCCTCTAAATTCGCACGCGCTGTCAAGTCTCTGTGGAAAAACGATAGACCTTCGTGATGGCCTGAATTAGGCACTCGTCTTGTATATAAGTACACGGTATGTTAGAAATCGTAGCATATAGAGTCTTCCTGTGTGTGCGTGTGTGTGTGTGTTGTTGTTGTTCGACTGGTCTCTGTTCCTGCATGCTTATACCCGACTCAGACTCTGGGCAGTAATCGCCACGCCATGTGTGGATCGTCCATGATCGTAAATACAAATACAAATACAAATACAAATGCTGAGGCGTTGGCTCTGGAGCTCCTCGAGCCAGACCAGCAGTCTCTGTGCTCTCTGACTCTGGTTCCCAGCTCCCTGTCCGTCTCGCCGATGTAGATGACCGGATCACCGTCAATCTTGCAGGAGCACTCGATTTGATAAACTACGTTGCTCTCCTGGTGCTTCGGCAGCTTGTGCTTGCTTTTGCTGCACAGAACTGCTCCAAGTGTCTGAGATGGCTTGGAGACGAGTGAGATGCCGATCTTGTTGGCTGCTCTTTTCAGTTGGTAGAAGTAAGCACCTGCGAAGGGCACTGACATTCTAACCTGCAGCTGACTGTTGCTGGTGTCTGGCGGAGAGGGTAAAGCCCGAGCTTTCAGACGGAGGTCTTCATTGGTCTGGTGTATGGTGTCGTTGATGAATGAGATAGGGTAGCCATGCTGATGTTAAATGTTTTATCATAGAATGTCACGTGCTATTTATCTATTTTACTATCTGTGACATGTCCTTGTCTGCCAAAGACGAATCGCCCTCAATTTTGCGACCGATACCCCCGAACCCGATTACGATACGCTGACGAAGCTTTGTAATACAATTCGAAAGCTCCGACCCGAACGATTTCCTGTGGAGTAAAGTCCTCATTCAATTACTACCATATTCTCGCATATTCTCTCTATGAGATTATGCTGTGCGGTATTGAGATATCCCGCTCACGCGTATTATTGCCGCAGACGACCTTGTCACTCGCGTATCGCGCTGTCGGCTCCAGTGACCTTCTGGGGTCTGCAGTTCCGCGGACGAGGTGGCAGCTCAATTTCCGGCTCTGGGGAGGGCTGGTGCGGCGCCTCGACCGCTCGGCTGCCGCTGAAGGCCACTGTGTGAGATGAGATGCTCATATGGAAGGGCTGAATAGCTACAGTTTTGTAAGAAATCTCACTGTGAGCACTGACCCGGACTCACAAAGAGTAGCCGGGTCAGGCTGACCGGAATGTGGGGCTGACTTTTCCGCGATCGTTGGTCCGACTTCTGGGGCATTCCACGTCAAATCAAACACAGAAATCCGTCATCCCCTTCGATTTTTCTGAAAATTTGTAGGCAAACTGGGCATGGTTCAAAACTGAGTTACGTATATTTTCGAAATTTGATAACGTGTCGCTGAGATATAGGCCATCGAATATAGCCAAAAATGCCACACATCAATTTTTTGAATGTCTATAACTCTGGTTCCTTTTCTGGTATCAAAATGATATTAACAGGGTCTTGTAGGCAATTGATAAGGCTTTGATTCTTTATTATAAAATCAAATTGAAGTGACCTTGAAATGCATTTGACCTTGAATTAAAACAGAAAAATTTCAATAGCAAAAAACACGTCACCTTCGATTTGGGTAATTTTTACATATTATGTCCGTCACAATGTTCCTAACCATCTGTGAAAAAATTGGAGTGGGCCATTCATAACTTTCGCGGCAAACGCCGTTTTCATGCATCAACATCACGCAACCGCGCGTGACCTTGAAAGACAGTCCGTGTTGGTGTGTGAAAAAATCCCTGTGTGGGGCGAAACTGCTGGCCCCTCCAATTCATTGTGAAGGCTACAAAGCATAGATGACATAAATTTCAGCTTGAATTATATCATCGAACCTGATTCCTTATCCCTTAAACATTGACGACAGAATGGTGCACTGAAGTCACAGTGAGTAAGTACGAACTTACGGAAAAGACTTGCATCACGACGATGAGCAGAACTAATGACTCTTCTACTCCCTGTGAGAGTCAAGACATGCTTGCTTGTGTACACTTTCTGTAATGAATGATTGCTGATTAGTTATATCCCAAAGTCTGCGAGAATGGAAATGCATAGTCATCGTAGTCAAGCATTCACGTTCCAT